ATTATTGCTGCGTTATGAAAGGAACTAGACACGGACACGAATTATCTGCTTAGTGTGTTAACACACTATTGGTGGTTTGTTGTGACCAAGTGTTGGTGCTAAACTGTGTGTTATTGGATGCTAGCATGCTAGTTAGCTATGGTGTCATAGTTAGCTAGCTGAATAAAGTGGGTTGAGTCTACTCCTTTAAACATTGAACCGCTGTGGTTCACAACAATTCTGATTTCTAAAGGTGGAAGTTGGGAGAGTTTTTGTTCGGGTGGTTCAGTGAAACAATTATAGTTTCTGAGGTGGAAGTTTTGGTGAGGGAGGCCCTGCTCTCTCCTCTTCCAGATGTTTAGTTCATTTCATTCCGATCTCCTCTGCATTATTGTAGCCATTTGCTACAGCCTGTCAGCTATGCCTCTGCCTATCCCTGTTCTCTCCTCTCTGCACAGGCTACACAAACGCCTCACACCGCGTGGCTGCTGCCTCTCTAACCTGGTGGTCCCTGCACGCACCCCACACCTGGAGTTCCAGGTCTCAGGCAGCCTCTGGAACTGCCGTTCTGCTGCCAACAAAGCTGACTTCATCCCAGCCTATGCTAACCTCCAGTCCCTCGACTTCCTGGCGCTGACGGAAACATGGATTACCACTGTTTCCTTTTCTCTCTCGCTCTCCTCCAACACTACTCACTCTGCCCCTACACAGATGGTAATGCGCCGCCGCAACCTTCGCTCTCTCTCTCCCACTACTCTCTCCTCTTCCATCCTATCATCTCTTCCCTCTGCTCAATCCTTCTCCCTCCAATCTCCTGATTCTGCCTCCTCAACCCTCCTCTCCTCCCTTTCTGCATCCTTTGACTCTCTGTGTCCCCTATCCTCCCGGCCGGCTCGGTCCTCCCCTCCAGCTCCGTGGCTTGATGACTCATTGCGAGCTCACAGAACAGAGCTCCGGGCAGCGGAGCGGAAATGGAAGAAAACTAAACTCCCTGCCGACCTGGCATCTTTTCACTCCCTCCTCTCTACATTTTCTTCATCTGTTTCTGCTGCTAAGGCCACTTTCTACCACTCTAAATTCCAAGCATCTGCCTCTAACCCTAGGAAGCTCTTTGCCACATTTTCCTCCCTACTGAATCCCCCCCCCCCACCCCCCCCCCTCCTCTCTCTCTGTGGATGACTTCGTCAACCACTTTGAAAAGAAGGTTGACGACATCCGATCCTCGTTTGTTAAGTCTAATGACACTGCTGGTCCTACTCACACTGCCCTACCCTATGCTTTGACTTCTTTCTCCCCTCTCTCTCCAGATAAAATCCTGCGACTTGTGACTGCAGGCCGCCCAACAACCTGCCCGCTTGACCCCATCCCCTCCTCTCTTCTCCAGACCATCTCCGGTGACCTTCTCCCCTACCTCACCTCGCTGATCAACTCATCCTTGACCGCTGGCCATGTCCCTTCCGTCTTCAAGAGAGCGAGAGTTGCTCCCCTTCTCAAAAAACCAACACTCGATCCCACTGATGTCAACAACTACAGACCAGTATCCCTTCTTTCTTTTCTTTCCAAAACTATTGAGCGTGCCGTCTTTAGCCAACTCTCTTGCTATCTCTCTCAGAATGACCTTCTTGATCCAAACCAGTCAGGTTTCAGGACTGGTCATTCAACTGAGACTGCTCTTCTCTGTGTCACGGAGGCTCTCCGCACTGCTAAAGCTAACTCTCTCTCCTCTGCTCTTGTCCTTCTAGACCTGTCTGCTGCCTTTGATACTGTGAACCATCAGATCCTCCTCTCCACCCTCTCCGAGCTGGGCATCTCCGGCGCGGCTCACTCTTGGATTGCGTCCTACCTGACCGGTCGCTCCTACCAAGTGGCGTGGCGAGAAGCTGTCTCCGCACCACGTGCTCTCACCACTGGTGTCCCCCAGGGCTCAGTTCTAGGCCCTCTCCTTTTCTCCCTATACACCAAGTCACTTGGCTCTGTCATATCCTCACATGGCCTCTCCTATCATTGCTACGCTGACGATACACAACTAATCTTCTCCTTTCCCCCTTCTGATAACCAGGTGGCGAATCGCATCTCTGCATGTCTGGCAGACATATCAGTATGGATGACGGATCACCACCTCAAGCTGAACCCTGGCAAGACGGAGCTGCTCTTCCTCCCGGGGAAGGACTGCCCGTTCCATGATCTCGCCATCACGGTTGACAACTCCGTTGTGTCCTCCTCCCAGAGTGCGAAGAGCCTTGGCGTGACCCTGGACAACACCCTGTCGTTCTCCGCTAACATCAAGGCGGTGACCCGCTCCTGCAGGTTCATGCTCTACAACATTCGGAGAGTACGACCCTGCCTTACACAGGAAGCGGCACAGGTCCTAATCCAGGCACTTGTCATCTCCCGTCTGGATTACTGCAACTCGCTGTTGGCTGGCCTCCCTGCCTGTGCCATTAAACCCCTACAACTCATCCAGAACGCCGCAGCCCGTCTGGTGTTCAACCTTCCCAAGTTCTCTCACGTCACCCCCCTCCTCCGCACACTCCACTGGCTTCCAGTTGAAGCTCGCATCCGTTACAAGACCATGGTGCTTGCCTATGGAGCAGTGAGGGGAACGGCACCTCTGTACCTTCGGGCTCTGATCAGTCCCTACACCCAAACGAGGGCATTGCGTTCATCCACCTCTGGCCTGCTGGCTCCCCTTCCTCTGCGGAAGCATAGTTCCCGCTCAGCCCAGTCAAAACTGTTCGCTGCTCTGGCACCCCAATGGTGGAACAAGCTCCCTCACGACGCCAGGACAGCGGAGTCACTCACCACCTTCCGGAGACATTTGAAACCCCACCTCTTTAAGGAATACCTGGGATAGGATAAAGTAATCCTTCTACCCCCCCCCCCTATAGCCAGTGGTTATCCCACTGGCTATAGGGTGAATGCACCAATTTGTGAGTCGCTCTTGATAAGAGCGTCGCTAAATGACGTAAATGTGCCCTTGAGCAAGGCACTTAACCCTAATTGCTCCTGTAAGTCGCTCTGGATAAGAGCGTCTGCTAAATGACTAAAATGTAAATGTAAAAATGTGGAGGCCACACACACTACTGAGCCTCATTTTGACTTGTTTTAAGGACATTACATCAAAGTTGGATCAGCCTGTAGTGTGGTTTTCCACTTTAATTTTGAGGGTGACTCCAAATCCAGATCTCCATGGGTTGATAAATTTGATTTCCATTGATAATTTTTGTGTTATTTTGTTGTCAACACATTCAACTATGTAAAGAAAAAAGTATTTAATAAGATTATTTCATTCATTCAGATCTAGGATGTGTTATTTTAGTGTTCCCTTTATTTTTTTGAGCAGTGTATATTTCCACACTATGAGGTTGGAATAATAATTCTGGTTGTGAAAATAGCAAAAATATTTCTGTACAGACTATAAGTTGAACATTGTAAGAATGCTAAGATAATTGAGAGAGAGAATAAGAACAAGTGGGCTACACAGGGCTTGACTGTACACTAGACTAGAGGGAATTAATCAGCTGTGCTTTCTTTAGCGTCTCTGCCCTGGTACATTTATCTTTTCCCCACATCGCCCTCCTCTGCCCATCAATCCCACTATTACACTCTGACGAAGGCCCGGTGGGCATTTCACACAGCAAATAAATTGGAGGGAAGGGGTGCGTGGAGCTTCTCTGAACGGAGCTTTGACCACTTCTTGTGGACGGATGGACAAAACAGGCAGACGGACACATACACACGGTCCTGTCCTGCTGTCCTATGGAGGAGATGGACACTAACAGTATGCTTTTATCACCATTATTCCTATTCTGCTTAATCTGACTAGCTCTTCCAGTTGCTGATTGTACAAAGTAACATAAACAAAATCAATAATTCAGAGCTGGAAAGCCAGAAGGGAACCTGTACAGTAGAGGCACAGCATGACGTCCGTATTGTACTGGAAAGGTTACTAAACAAAGCCCCATTCCAATGTCATGCTTCATGCAATCTGAACCACTCTTGTAAGCTCACGTTATTTTTCTCAAAAGTGGGCAACAAAGTTTTTAGTTAAGGAGAGAATCTTGTATGCGGTGTATCCGTGACTTAAAATACCTTGGTTCAGAATGTCAGTGTTGCGTGTAGTCCAAAAAATGTACACTGCATTTGACTATGAACTGTATGCTCTTTGACAATGAGCCAAGGATCCTTGACAAAAACTGCTGCTCAGAGTCACAAAGAGCCCCACGAATGATGAAATGCATGGGTAATGTCTATCTAAAAGTTGATGAACAAGACTAGAGATGTTCAAAAGTATTCATATTTGGTTGTGTTATGAATTGGCAAGACCATTTCCTCCATCCTTAAGATGACACTGATGGCTATTAAACCAATTCTATACTTTATTTAGACAATGGTTATAAAAGGACAGATTTCTTTTGAAAGTGTACAAAAAGGCTGGCGCCTAATTTTACAAAATGAACAATTCCCTTCCCTTGCCATCTAAATACATAAAGGGTCCTGTCCTACTTACAGAAGTTCACTTTTTTAACTCCCACCTAACAAAAAAGCAATTTTCTTCCACATATCCACATTGGCTCATGAAATATTAAACCCAGCTCCTATACAAAAGGGATACAATACAATGCCAAAAAACTACACAATATTTGGGGCATGAATATGTTCGCTCTAACTTTGCTGCAAAATAACTTTTTTGTATTATTATTATTTGGAGAGTGGGTGGAAGCTAAATAAAAAGGTTCAGCACAACCAGGGGACTGGAGCAGGAGCACTGAACAATTTACTATATGGCAAACATTTGGACAGCTGTGTGAGATTGGGTTAAATGTAAGTAGACTCATTAATATGACATCATCCTACACAGTGGGCGGTCTACCAGGCAGTGACAGACAGTCTATAAACAACAGTGTTGTTGCTCTACATGCACAGTGTAGGCAGAGGTTGAAGAGCAGGTGAAGTCTTGCCATGTCTTATTAGATGGGGTGTCAGAATAGTTTCCAATGGAACCTTTCCCCTCTGTTTCCTCATTGCCTACACGTGTCGTGGAAGGCCTCCAGGGTGCGAAAGTCTCTCCAGGTCGGGGGAAGGCCCTCCTGCAGGAACTTCCCACAACGCTGACATGGGGTCTGGAACAGCTTGATGTAGCTTCTTAGCCAGGTCTGCCAAGGAGAAAATAAAATGGAAATTCAGGCAGGAAGACGGTGATATACAGTGAGGGAAAAAAGTATTTGATCCCCTGCTGATTTTGTACATTTGCCCACGGACAAAGACATGATCAGTCTATAATTTTAATGGTAGGTTTATTTGAACAGTGTGAGAGAGAATAACAACAAACAAATGTCAAAAATGTTATAAATTGATTTGCATTTTAATGAGGGAAATAAGTATTTGACTCCTCTGCAAAACATGACTTAGTACTTGGTGGTAAAACCCTTGTTGGCAATCACAGAGGTCAGACGTTTCTTGTAGTTGGCCACCAGGTTTGCACACATCTCAGGAGGGATTTTGTTCCACTCCTCTTTGCAGATCTTCTCCAAGTCATTAAGGTTTCGAGGCTGATGTTTGGCAACTCGAACCTTCAGCTCCCTCCACAGATTTTCTATGGGATTAAGGTCTGGAGACTGGCTAGGCCACTCCAGGACCTTAATGTGCCTCTTCTTGAGCCACTCCTTTGTTGCCTTGGCCGTGTGTTTTGGGACATTGTCATGCTGGAATACCCATCCACGACCCATTTTCAATGCCCTGGCTGAGGGAAGGAGGTTCTCACTCAAGATTTGACGGTACATGGCCCCGTCCATCGTCCCTTTGATGCGGTGAAGTTGTCCTGTCCCCTTAGCAGAAAAACATCCCCAAAGCATAATGTTTCCACCTCCATGTTTGACGGTGGGGATGGTGTTCCTGGGGACATAGGCAGCATTCCTCCTCCTCCAAACACAGCGAGTTGATGCCAAAGAGCTCAATTTTGGTCTCATCTGACCACAACACTTTCACCCAGTTCTCCTCTGAATCATTCAGATGTTCATTGGCAAACTTCAGACAGGCCTGTATATATGCTTTCTTGAGCAGGGGGACCTTGCGGGCGCTGCAGGAATTCAGTCCTTCACGGCGTAGTGTGTTACCAATTGTTTTCTTGGTGACTATGGTCCCAGCTGCCTTGAGATCATTGACAAGATCCTCCCGTGTAGTTCTGGGCTGATTCCTCACCGTTCTCATGATCATTGCAACTACATGAGGTGAGATCTTGCATGGAGCCCCAGGCCAAGGGAGATTGACAGTTATTTTGTGTTTCTTCCATTTGCGAATAATCGCACCAACTGTTGTCACCTTCTCACCAAGCTGCTTGGCGATGGTCTTGTAGCCCATTCCAGCATTGTGTAGGTCTACAATCTTGTCCCTGACATCCTTGGAGAGCTCTTTGGTCTTGGCCATGGTGGAGAGTTTGGAATCTGATTGATTGCTTCTATGGACAGGTGTCTTTTATACAGGTAACAAACTGAGATTAGGAGCACTCCCTTTAAGAGTGTGCTCCTAATCTCATCTTGTTACCTGTATAAAAGACACCTGGGAGACAGAAATCTTTCTGATTGAGAGGGGGTCAAATACTTATTCCCCTCATTAAAATGCAAATAAATGTATAACATTTTCTGACATGCGTTTTTCTGGATTTTTTGGTTGTGATTCTGTCTCTCACTGTTCAAATAAACCTACCATTAAAATTATAGACTGATCATTTCTTTGTCAGTGGGCAAACGTACAAAATCAGCAGGGGATCAAATACTTTTTTCCCTCACTGTATCTGTCAGGAGGATTCACCAATAGACTGATTCTAGTAAAACATAACATTTTGAATCAAAACTCAATGACGGGCCATTTTGATGAGCAGATGAGCTGACACGGTGAGAGAGACAGAGAGAAAGAGAGAGAACGGGAGAGAGAGAGAGAGAGAGAGAGAAAGAGATAGAGGGGGACAGAGACAGAGAGCACCAATGAGGGGATTGTGGTCAATCCACCCAGGGGGGTGAGTGGAGTCTCTCCTCATCTTCAGGCCCCCCTCTCTCTCCCAGCCCATCAGTCGGCCCCAGCCAGCCACACTGCCAGACCTCCCTCACACAGTCACACACCTGTCGAAACCTATTCACTGGCATCATCCATCTGTAGGATTAAAACCCTGCTCCTCAATTCATCACCGGCCAGCGTAATGATCACCACCCTCATTGGGCGGCGTGAGAAAATATCCATTACAGCAATCTCATGTTAGCGCTGCAACGAGAAGACTACAGTTATAGGTAAGTAGAGAGTAATGCATTTGCAAAGCCTATGGAATAGCAACTGCAAAACAGGTGCAAAAAAGGCATTTTTATTTAATTGCTTTAGTGGCTACTTAAGATGGGACTTGGGCCAACTGTTCCTTTAAACAGGATTGATTGCAGACATAGTGCTAATGTCTTTCTAGACAGAGTCAAGCTGTCAATGAGGACAGGCTGGTAATGGAGGCACCTGGGTGTTGGCCTTGAAGCTGAGCCACTGTCTGATTGAACCCAGCCACCACACCCTGGCGGGGCCAGATCAGAATAGGCTCCCATTGATCTCCAACACCGGATTGGCAAATTCATCTCCCTCACCTCAGCACTAAGAGCACAGGTCTGCAGAGTGGACAGTCGGGCTATTTAAAAACATCAAGTAGGGCGGGCACAATTACCGTATAAGCGGCGGTTATGGATGAAGACCGTCATGAAAATAAAATAACAGTCATAACCGTAATTTTTGTGTGTGGAACAAACAGATGACTGAAGACAGGATAGCCAGGCATTAGTGCGGTTGAGTCTGTTTCTACGGTAACATGGAGTCTTTACAACGTGATGAAACGCAGTTTCTCCTTGCTGAAACAAGCAAGGTGTTGTAGCAAACAAGTCGTCAGTTGCCTAGGCAATGCCCCCCTCCCTGCAGCAGCAGCACACGCAGTCAGTAGCAGAGAAGAAAATGTGTTGAAAAAATTATTTTTTATTTTCTATTCAAACAGTTAAACGATGACCGCGGTCATTTGGCTGACCAATTACTGTCATCCTCATCCAAAATTCCATGACCGTCACAGCCAACATCAAGACAATAATACAGTCTCTTCTATGCTTCCTGAGGTACTTCCTCTATAGGACTGTACATGTGGAGACTGGTTACAAGCTTCAGCGGGACAGGGGAGCGTTGCCTGACTCACAACCATCATTATCCAGTAATAGCCTGACAGTTTTTAACCCCCTCCTCAAAAATGAGTTTCAGAGCCTTAAATCAAAAGAGGCACTGTAACAGTACTGTAGGTGTGATAAGATGCCTAGAGACAGCAATGCAAGTACAACCCATCGGCTATGTCTATATGGTGAAGATATGGGACAGTAGATGATCAAGTAGAGGAGCTCAGTCACAGGGTGTGAGTGGGTTATATAGAGGGTTTCCTTTGTGAATGTGCTCACCATGAAGGACCGTACCACCACATCGGGCATCTGGGGGAGTTGGTAGTGCAGCAGAGCAGTGGTGGCGTGATCCGTAACCTTAGAGAAAAAACAGGGCTTGTAAAAACACATCGTCCCTGAATATTTGTAAATAATATAATAATAATATAATATGCCATGTAGCAGACGCTTTTATCCAAAGCGACATACAGTCATGCATGCATACATTTTTCTGTATGGGTGGTCCCGGGGATCGGACCCACTACCTTAGCGTTACAAGCGCTGTGCTCTACCAGCTGAGCTACTGAGGACCACAAACATTCCAATTCCCTCTGCTAAGGCTGAAACAATAAAATCACATTAAGTCTGCCAGCTTTTTCAATTCAATAGGATTTTATGAGCAAGTGAGTACTACATAACATAATCAATAAAAGTGGTCAAGTAAAACAACATGTTTTCAAGGCCTGAGCAATCATTACTCAACTTTCAACATAACTAATAGTGGTCTGCTAGACTAGTGCAGGGTTGTCATTGGAGCAATCCTAATCATATACTGTACCAATCTCTCCCTCCTACACATATTCACTTGGCAGTGACTAGGCTTCTTATTATTCTTAATATTTTGATCAAAATCTAATATTCATCCCACATGCAATTATATGCAGGCCATTTATTACGTAACTTTGATGAACCAAGTTCTTCCGACAATTGTTTTGCTGTGTCCAGTCAATATGTCCATTGCTATTGCATTTTGACCATCTGGGGAAGCATGAGGAGTATGGCTATTACCAGCACATGGCAGGCAGCACAGTACATGCGCAGGGAAAACATATCAAAACAGGGGGAAAAAACAAACATCTTCTTCTCCCCAAAGAAGATGTAAGGATATGACTGGACAGGTAACAAAGAGAGGCTTTGGTCCCAAGTCAGCCAGTGCAGTGAAAGATGAGAGGTGCCCTCCTCTTCCCTCCCTCCCCATCAGACTGGGTCTGTTTGACTTAGCATTAGGATGAGATGAGATCAAGAAATAAACATACTGTAGTTTACCAATAAAATGGTCTGACGGTGAAGTGGACATACTCTGTATTCATATCCTGAAAGAATGAAATGACCTCATTACAATACATTTTAATAGAAAGTCAGCAAAAATAGATAAGATCTTGCTACCGTGGAAAGGAAAATACCTGTCTATTTGTGGAAAACTTACCCTGAATAACTCATATCCCAGTTTACCTAATTGATTACGTCCTTGCCTACACCTAGTGACTTGATTTTTAAAAAAAATATATGAGCAAAAAATATTATATTTTATTTGGAATTGCAAGCCTGACAAAATTAAACGGGCCTATTTTTATCATTAATATGAAATCAGAGGGCAAAAATTATTAAACATTAAAGCATTAGATCTCTCACTAAAGGCTTCAGTCCTTCAAAAGTTATACTTACATCTGAACTGGTTCTCTAGCAGATTAGGAACAATGTCTCACCACATGTTCAAGAACGGCCTTTTCCCCTTTATTCAGATTACAACCTCTCACTTTTGGTTATTTGAAAATGAAATAATCTCCAAAATATCGCTATTTTTAAAACAAGCCATAGAAAGTTGGTTGCAATTTCAGTTTAATCCTCCAGAAAAGACAGAACAAATATTACAACAAATATTATGGCTAAACTCAAATATACTAATTGATACAAAACATTTTTTTTTTTTTAAGAGGGTAAAATCTTTGTAAATTATATCATAAATAGGACTGGTGGAGTTGTCACACATGCAGGGTCGGCAGGTAGCTTAGTGGGTAAGAGCGTTGTGCCAGTAACCGAAAGGTCGCTGGTTCTAATCCCCGAGCCGACTAGGTGAAAAATCTGTCGATGTGCCCTTAAGCAAGGCACTTAACCCTAATTGCTCCTGTAAGTCGCTCTGGATAAGAGCGTCTGCTAAATGACTAAAATGTAAATGTAAAAAAAATGCAGCTAACAAATATATATGGAAATGTCTGTTCTACTTAAAATTACAAATAACTAATTGCAGCATTACCGCAAAAATGTAAGAGGCAGGGGGGAGAAAGTATGCTGCCTATGCTCCAGTCCCTCGACTTCTTGGCGCTGACGGAAACATGGATTACCACTGAAAACACTGCTACTCCTACTGCTCTCTCCTCGTCTGACCATGTGTTCTCGCATACCCCGAGAGCATCTGGTCAGCGGGGTGGTGGCACAGGAATCCTCATCTCTCCCAAGTTGACATTCTCTCTTTTTCCCCTGACCCATCTGTCTATCTCCTCATTTGAATTCCATGCTGTCACAGTCACTAGCCCATTCAAGCTTAACATCCTTATCATTTATCGCCCTCCAGGTTCCCTTGGAGAGTTGATCAATGAGCTTGACGCCTTGATAGGTTCCTTTCCTGAGGATGGCTCACCCCTCACAGATCTGGGTGACTTTACCCTCCCTACGTCTACCTTTGACTCATTTCTCTCTGCCTCCTTTCCACTCCTCTCCTCTTTTGACCTCACCCTCTCACCGCCCCCCCCTACTCACAAGGCTTGACCTCATCTTTACTAGATGCTGTTCTTCTACTAATCTCACTGCAACTCCCCTCCAAGTCTCCGACCACTACTTTGTATCCTTTTCTCTTCCGCTCTCCTCCAACAATACTCACTCTGCCTCTACTCAGATGGTAATGCGCCGTCGCAACCTTCGCTCTCTCTCTCCCGCTACTCTCTCCTCTTCCATCCTATCATCTCTTCCCTCTGCTCAATCCTTCTCCCTCCAATCTCCTGATTCTGCCTCCTCAACCCTCCTCTCCTCCCTTTCTGCATCCTTTGACTCTCTATGTCCCCTATCCTCCCGGCCGGCTAGGTCCTCCCCTCCTGCTCCGTGGCTTGACGACTCATTGCGAGCTCACAGAACAGGGCTCCGGGCAGCCGAGCGGAAATGGAGGAAAACTAGACTCCCTGCGGACCTGGCATCTTTTCACTCCCTCCTCTCTACATTTTCTTCCTCTGTTTCTGCTGCTAAAGCCACTTTCTACCACTCTAAATTCCAAGCATCTGCCTCTAACCCTAGGAAGCTCTTTGCCACCTTCTCCTCCCTGCTGAATCCTCCTCCCCCCCCCCCTCTCCCCTCTCTCTCCAGATGAAATCTTGCGACTTGTGATGGCCGGCCGCTCAACAACCTGCCCGCTTGACCCTATCCCCTCCTCTCTTCTCCAGACCATTTCCGAGGACCTTCTCCCTTACCTCACCTCGCTCATCAACTCATCCTTGACCGCTGGCTATGTCCCTTCTGTCTTCAAGAGAGCGAGAGTTGCACCCCTTCTCAAAAAACCTACACCCGATCCCTCCGATGTCAACAACTACAGACCAGTATCCCTTCTTTCTTTTCTCTCCAAAACTCTTGAGCGTGCCGTCTTTAGCCAACTGCTATCTCTCTCAGAATGACCTTCTTGATCCAATCCAGTCAGGTTTCAAGACTGGTCATTCAACTGAGACTGCTCTTCTCTGTGTCACGGAGGCTCTCCGCACTGCTAAAGCTAACTCTCTCTCCTCTGCTCTTGTCCTTCTAGACCTGTCTGCTGCCTTTGATACTGTGAACAATCAGATCCTCCTCTCCACCCTCTCCGAGTTGGGCATCTCCGGCGCGGCTCACTCTTGGATTGCGTCCTACCTGACAGGTCGCTCCTACCAAGTGGCGTGGCGAGAATCTGTCTCCGCACCACGTGCTCTCACCACTGGTGTCCCCCAGGGCTCAGTTCTAGGCTCTCTCCTATTATCGCTATACACCAAGTCACTTGGCTCTGTCATATCCTCACATGGCCTCTCCTATCATTGCTATGCAGACGACACACAACTAATCTTCTCCTTTCCCCCTTCTGATAACCAGGTGGCGAATCGCATCTCTGCACGTCTGGCAGACATATCAGTGTGGATGACGGATCACCACCTCAAGCTGAACCTCGGCAAGACGGAGCTGCTCTTCCTCCCGGGGAAGGACTGCCCGTTCCATGATCTCGCCATCACAGTTGACAACTCTGTTGTGTCCTCCTCCCAGAGTGCAAAGAGCCTTGGCGTGACCCTGGACAACACCCTGTCGTTCTCCGCTAACATCAAGGTGGTGACCCGATTCTGTAGGTTCATGCTCTACAACATTCGGAGAGTACGACCCTGCCTTACACAGGAAGCGGCACAGGTCCTAATCCAGGCACTTGTCATCTCCCGTCTGGATTACTGCAACTCGCTGTTGGCTGGGCTCCCTGCCTGTGCCATTAAACCCCTACAACTCATCCAGAATGCCGCAGCCCGTCTGGTGTTCAACCTTCCCAAGTTCTCTCACGTCACCCCGCTCCTCCGCACACTCCACTGGCTTCCAGTTGAAGCTCGCATCTGCTACAAGACCATGGTGCTTGCCTACGGAGCTGTGAGGGGAATGGCACCTCCGTACCTTCAGGCTCTGATCAGTCCCTACACCCAAACGAGGGCATTGCGTTCATCCACCTCTGGCCTGCTGGCCCCCCTATTGCCTACGGAGCTGTGAGGGGAACGGCACCTCCGTACCTTCAGGCTCTGATCAGTCCCTACACCCAAACGAGGGCATTGCGTTCATCCACCTCTGGCCTGCTGGCCCCCCTACCTCTGCGGAAGCACAGTTCCCGCTCAGCCCAGTCAAAACTGTTCGCTGCTCTGGCACCCCAATGGTGGAACAAGCTCCCTCACGACGCCAGGACAGCAGAGTCACTCACCACCTTCCGGAGACACTTGAAACCCCACCTCTTTAAGGAATACCTGGGATAGGATAAAGTCATCCTTCTACCCCCCCCCTTACCCCCCCCCAAAATTTTTTTAAAAATAAATACATATTGTAAAGTGGTTATCCCACTGGCTATAAGGTGAATGCACCAATTTGTAAGTCGCTCTGGATAAGAGCGTCTGCTAAATGACGTAAATGTAAGTAAGGAACTTGTCTTTTGGCCCTTCATTAAAGACCAAAATTGGCTAAAGAAATTTTTGACAAATAAAAAAGTATACCAGTTTCATTTAAGGACCCAAAAATTGACACCTGTGCCAAAAAGATTGCAAAATAGTTGGGATAAAATTTTCGATGCACCGATTACATGGCACATGGTTTATGAACTGATACACAAAACTACGCTGGATTCAAAACTTTGAGCTTTTCAATTTAAATTATTATACAAAATTCTTGCAACCAATAGAATGTTATATACACTGCTCAAAAAAATAAAAGGGAACACTAAAATAACACATCCTAGATCTGAATGAAATACTTTTTTCTTTACATAGTTGAATGTGCTGACAACAAAATCACACAAAACTTATCAATGGAAATCAAATTTATCAACCCATGGAGGTCTGGATTTGGAGTCACCCTCAAAATTAAAGAACGAGAGTTACACTACAGGCTGATCCAACTTTGATGTAATGTCCTTAAAACAAGTCAAAATGAGGCTCAGTAGTGTGTGTGGCCTCCACGTGCCTGTATGACCTCCCTACAACGCCTGGGCATGCTCCTGATGAGGTGGCGGATGGTCTCCTGAGGGATCTCCTCCCAGACCTGGACTAAAGCATCCGCCAACTCCTGGACAGTCTGTGGTGCAACGTGGCGTTGGTGGATGGAGCGAGACATGATGTCCCAGATGTGCTCAATTGGATTCAGGTCTGGGGAACGGGCAGGACAGTCCATAGCATCAATGCCTTCCTCTTGCAGGAACTACTGACACACTCCAGCCACATGAGGTCTAGCATTGTCTTGCATTAGGAGGAACCCAGGGCCAACCGCACCAGCATATGGTCTCACAAGGGGTCTGAGGATCTCATCTCGGTACCTAATGGCAGTCAGGCTACCTCTGGCGAGCACATGGAGGGCTGTGCGGCCCCCCAAAGAAATGCCACCCCACACCATGACTGACCCACCGCCAAACCGGTCATGCTGGAGGATGTTGCAGGCAGCAGAACGTTCTCCACGGCGTCTCCAGACTCGGTCACGTCATGTGCTCAGTGTGAACCTGCTTTCATCTGTGAAGAGCACAGGGCGCCAGTGGCGAATTTGCCAATCTTGGTGTTCTCTGGCAAATGCCAAACGTCCTGCACAGTGTTGGGCTTTAAGCACAAACCCCACCTGTGGACGTCGGGCCCTCATACCACCCTCATGGAGTCTGTTTCTGACCGTTTGAGCAGGTCATTTTGCAGGGCTCTGGCAGTGCTCCTCCTGCTCCTCCTTGCACAAAGGTGGAGGTAGCAGTCCTGCTGCTGGGTTGTTGCCCTCCTACGGCCTCCTCCACGTCTCCTGATGTACTGGCCTGTCTCCTGGTAGCGCCTCCATGCTCTGGACACTACGCTGACAGACACAGCAAACCTTCTTGCCACAGCTCGCATAGATGTGCCATCCTGGATGAGCTGCACTACCTGAGCCACTTGTGTGGGTTGTAGACTCCGTCTCATGCTACCACTAGAGTGAAAGCACCGCCAGCATTCAAAAGTGACCAAAACATCAGCCAGGAAGCATAGGAACTGAGAAGTGGTCTGTGGTCACCACCTGCAAAACCAGTCCTTTATTGGGGATGTCTTGCTAATTGCCTATAATTTCCACCTGTTGTCTATTCCATTTGCACAACAGCATGTTACATTTATTATTAATCAGTGTTGCTTCCTAAGTGGACAGTTTGATTTCACAGAAGTGTGATTGACTTGGAGTTACATTGTGTTGTATAAGTGTTCCCTTAATTTTTTTGAGCAGTGTATATGGGGGATACAACCATCCCAGCTTTGCAGATTTTGCTGCAAAGAGATTGAATCATTAGATAATTTGTTTTGGTATTGTCCATATGTAGCTTGTTTTTGGTCGCAGGTTCAGGAATGGCTGAAGAATTGCAACATTTACCTGGAGCTAACTTTGCAAATAGCACTGCTGTGTGATTTAAAAAGTCATAGTCAATCGATTAACAATATAATAATACTCTTAGCAAAATGTTTTATCTTTAATTTACAATACGTCGAATCTATGAAAATAGAAAGGTTCAGAACTTTTGTGAAACATCACAGTACAGTTGAAAAATATATGGCAAATAGAAATCAAAACTGGATGGTGTTCACAGACAGATTGGAGGGGTTGAGTGGAGCTGAAGAATGGGACTAAAAACAAACAAAAGATAACTATTGTAAACTATACTGTGTCCGTAAAATGTATGTAGCATTTAAAAGCTGGAAGTAGAAGCCTAAGAGTTGTTGTCCATTAGTTTACTCCAATTAGGGGAGGGATGGTAGGGTTTGGGGAAAATAATAAAATAAAATATATATTTTATATACAGTGGGGGAAAAAAGTATTTAGTCAGCCACCAATTGTGCAAGTTCTCCCACTTAAAAAGATGAGAGAGGCCTGTAATTTTCATCATAGGTACACGTCAACTATGACAGACAAATTGAGAAAAAAATTCCTGAAAATCACATTGTAGGATTTTTAATGAATTTATTTGCAAATTATGGTGGAAAATAAGTATTTGGTCACCTACAAACAAGCAAGATTTCTGGCTCTCACAGACCTGTAACTTCTTCTTTAAGAGGCTCCCCTGTCCTCCACTCGTTACCTGTATTAATGGCACCTGTTTGAACTTGTTATCAGTATAAAAGACACCTGTCCACAACCTCAAACAGTCACACTCCAAACTCCACTATGGCCAAGACCAAAGAGCTATCAAAGGACACCAGAAACAAAATGGTAGACCTGCACCAGGCTGGGAAGACTGAATCTACAATAGGTAAGCAGCTTGGTTTGAAGAAATCAACTGTGGGAGCAATTATTAGGAAATGGAAGACATACAAGACCACTGATAATCTCCCTCGATCTAGGGCTCCACGCAAGATCTCACCCCGTGGGGTCAAAATTATCACAAGAACGGTGAGCAAATCCCAGAACCACACGGGGGGCCCTAGTGAATGACCTGCAGAGAGCTGGGACCAAAGTAACAAAGCCTACCATCAGTAACACACTACGCCGCCAGGGACTCAAATCCTGCAGTGCCAGACGTGTCCCCCTGCTTAAGCCAGTACATGTCCAGGCCCGTCTGAAGTTTGCTAGAGTGCATTTGGATGATCCAGAAGAGGATTGGGAGAATGTCATATGGTCAGATGAAACCAAAATATAACTTTTTGGTAAAAACTCAACTTGTCGTGTTTGGAGGACAAAGAATGCTGAGTTGCATCCAAAGAACACCATACCTACTGTGAAGCATGGGGGTGGAAACATCATGCTTTGGGGCTGTTTTTCTGCAAAGTGACCAGGACGACTGATCCGTGTAAAGGAAATAATGAATGGTGCCATGTATCGTGAGATTTTGAGTGAAAACCTCCTTCCATCAGCAAGGGCATTGAAGATGAAACGTGGCTGGGTCTTTCAGCATGACAATGATCCCAAACACACCGCCCGGGAAACGAAGGAGTGGCTTCGTAAGAAGCATTTCAAGGTCCTGGAGTGGCCTAGCCAGTCTCCAGATCTCAACCTCATAGAAAATCTTTGGAGGGAGTTGAAAGTCTGTGTTGCCCAGCGACAGCCCCAAAACATCACTGCTCTAGAGGAGATCTGCATGGAGGAATGGGCCAAAATACCAGCAACAGTGTGTGAAAACCTTGTGAAGACTTACAGAAAACGTTTGACCTGTGTCATTGCCAACAAAGGGTATATAACAAAGTATTGAGAAACTTTTGTTATTGACCAAATACTTATTTTCCACCATAATTTGCAAATAAATTCATTAAAAATCCTACAATGTGATTTTCTGGAATTTTTTTTCTCATTTTGTCTGTCATTGTTGACGTGTACCTATGATTAAAATTACAGGCCTCTCATCTTTTTAAGTGGGAGAACTTGCACAATTGGTGGCTGACTAAATACTTTTTTCCCCCACTGTATATACAGTACCAGTAAAAAGTTTGGACACACCTACTCATTCAAGGGTTTTTCTTAATTTTTACTATTTTCTACATTGTAGAATAATAGTGAAGCCATCAAAACTATGAAATAACACATATGGAATCATGTAGTAACCAAAAAAGTGTTAAGCAAATCAAAATATATTACATATTTGAGATTCTTCAAAGAGCCACCCTTTGCCTTGATGACAGCTTTGCACACTCTTGGCATTCGCTCAACCAGCTTCACCTGGAATGCTTTTCCAACCGTCTTGAAGGAGTTCCCACATATGCTGAGCACTTGTTGGCTGCTTTTCCTTCACTCTGCCGTCCGACTCATCCAAAACCATCTCAATTGGGTTGAGGTCAGGGGATTGTGGAGGCCAGGTCATCTGATGCAGCACTCTATCACTCTCCTTCTTGGTCAAATAGCCCTTACACAGCCTGGAGATGGGTTGGGTTATTGTCCTGTTGAAAATCAAATGATAGTCCCACTAAGCCCAAACCAGATGGGATGGCGTATCGCTGCAGAATGCTGTGGTATGGTTAAGTGTGCCTTGAATTCTAAATAAATCACAGACGGTGTCACCAACAAAGCACCCCCACACCATAACACCACCTCCTCCATGCTTTACGGTGGGAACTACACATGTGGAGATCATCCGTTCACCCACAACGTGTCTCACAAAGACACGGCGGTTGGAACCAACAATCTCCAATTTAGACTCCAGACCAAAGGACACATTTCCACCGGTCTAATGTCCATTGCTCGTGTTTCTTGGCCCAAGCAGGTCTCTTCTTCTTATTGGTGTCCTTTACAAGTAGTGGTTTCTTTGCAGCAATTCGACCATGAAGGCCTGATTCACACAGTCCCCTCTGAACAGTTGATGTTGAGATGTGTCTGTGACTTGAACTCTGTGAAATAATTTATTTGGGCTGCAATTTCTGAGGCTGGTAACTCTAATGAACTTATCCTCCGCAACAGAGGTAACTCTGGGTCTTCCTTTCCTGTGGCGGTCCTCATATGAGCCAGTTTCATCATAGCGCTTGATGGTTTTTGTGACTGCATTTGATGAAACTTTCAAAGTTCTTGAAATGTTCCGTATTGACTGACCTTCATGTCTTAAAGTAATGATGGACTGTCGTTTCTCTTTGCTTATTTGAGCTGTTCTTGCCATAATATGGACTTGGTCTTTTACCAAATAGGGCTATCTTCTGTATACCCCCCTACCTACTGATTGGCTCAAACGCATTAAGAAGGAATGAAATTCCACAAATTAACTTTTAACAAGGCACACCTGCTAATTGAAATGCATTCCAGGTGACTACCTCATGAAGCTGGTTGAGAGAATGCCAAGAGTGTGCAAAGCTGTCATCAAGGCAAAGGGTGGCTACTTTGAAGAATCTCAAATCTAAAAAATATATTTGGATTTGTTTAACCCCTTTTTGGTTACTACATGATTCCATATGTGTTATTTCATAGTTTGATGTCTTCACTATTATTATACAATGTAGAAAATAGTAAAAATAAAGAAAAACCCTGGAATGAGTAGGTGTGTCCAAACTTTTGACTGGTACTGTATATATTTACCCCAAAATATATGGGGGATTGGAAATTATGCAGACAATTACATTGACGGAAGCCACAATCTATCTGCAATATTAAAGCTGATCTACCCCCTAAAATATACATATCTTTTTTATAAACATACTGTGCTTTGATCAGCCAGGAGGTACAAGTGAGAATTCTCTATGAAAGACACATTTGTGTGTTCTCGTTCTATTAATGTTGGCTCCATCGCCGTCACTGGTGTGTGTGTGTGTGGCGTTTTGGCTGCCCATAGGCTGCCTGTTGAGATTTGATGAGGGAGGGGAGTGAGGACGACTCATAACCTCCATATGCTTGCCAGAACTGACTATGATGCAAAGTGGTTTTAGTTTCAAATGAAATTCAACAGGAAACAGAGTATATTTTGGTATGACAGGGCTTGACTAGTGTGAGAGAAGAACACAGCAACAGGTGGTCCAACGGGAGAGAGACCGACTGGACCACAATATGGAGACCTATGTGACTATTAATGAGTTCCTCAGGTTGGCGTCTGCCAAGTGGGCATTGCACCTCACTCTGTGGTGAACACATAAAGATGGGGTCTCACCTTTTGAAATACTTGATAGTTTGACTTCGACCAGATATCCAGCTGAGGAGAGAAAAGGAGAAATGATTGCCATTATTCATACATTTTCAAACCATTACACATTATTTTCTTCAGTTGTATGTGATGCAAGTCACACCAAGTGTTCCTTTGGTGCGTTCAGAACAATGGGATTGGATTAAACATGTTGTCGTCGTCATCATCAAGACTGACTACGCCATCAACTTTCTCTTGGTATTCGTGATACCATTCATTAGCATTGTATTCTGGTGTGTTGATCATTTGATCAGGTCTATATTTTTGGTTCAAATGATTCCTCTCTTCTTGCCACCCTACTGTCCTCTGGCTTGCATGGTCCTACAGTAAACGGGGAGAGGTGGGCAGGAGATTGTGTGAAGGTCGTCCAAACACTTTCAAAGGCGTTAACAAATCAAAACGCTCCCCTGAATCTAATATCAAACAGGCCCGGTGTCAGCATTTATTCGAGAAATTGGATTCGATCCCTCTCTGTCCCTCTACCCACTCCCGACACACAGAGACCCTTTAAAGGGGGAATAATACAGGATCGCAAATTACCCAAGAGATGCCTTAGATAGTCTTTGAAGCCCTCCTTTAATACTGCAGTTTTCCTTCTCCTTTTCCCTCTCTCTTTCTGTACGCTAGGAGGCTCAGCTTGCGGCCCCTGCTGCTTCTTACCATAGGATAATTAGAGGAGAAAATGGCAGAAATGGGGATGGAGCAGACGAGGCAAGACATCCTAAACCAAACCCTGGCTGCTGCTGTTGTGTCTAAGTCATCCTATGTGGCGCTTTGGGAATGTCTGGACTACAAAACATTTTCCAAGGAGCAGATTATCTCTATAAAGTAGCTGGTTAGTTGTAGCAGTATATGTAAGAGTTCAATTATAAACACACATGCATGAACACACACAGTTGAGTACATCAGACAACATTGTTCTGGCAGGAGGTTCAGAAGTCTCCCTTTCATTGGTTTAATTAACAGTGATAAAGGTTCTCTGTGGCTTTGATGGCCTCCTCATATTCATGTCAGTTCAAAGAGTCCCGGAGTGAGAGCGAAACACCATATTCAAAATGAATGATGGACTAATGTTGAATCTGACAGAGGGGAAATCATAGAGGAAAGCCAATGTCTCCCATCCTTCACAAGCTTTTCATGTGAGAGAGCGATAGAGTAAGAGGTCATCTAAATTATTCAACGGTGCCAACAGAAAACTGACAATGAGGATTGGAGGTCCAGACCCTGGATTGCATACTCTTACGTTAGCAGCTGGAAACAGTCAGCCCTCTAACAAAACTGTTCTATAGGAGGCTATATGAGGTTACTCTGAATACATAGCCCAGAAAGACCCATTCATGGTACCCAGGACACTCTCAAGAGGACTGAAGTCTCCATGGATGTGTACAGATAATATATGCCTAGTATGACGCCTCTTATGTCAAGTAATACCGTACTTATATTTTTGCAATGGAGAGAGGGTTGCACCTCACCATCACAGTACCACTCAATCCAGTTGTTTGTGCAAAAACCTCCCATTTAACCCTGAAAGCAATACCTTGCCATCCTCGGAATACACGTTCTCGTTGAATCCTCTCACGATGGTCCGGTCTATGAACAGGCTTCTCATCACCACGATGGTTTTCAGCACTTTCCCCAACGTCACCTAAAGGAAGAGACAGCAGAGAGGAAAAGACAATGACAAATTCAGCCCTGTTCAGTCTCTCCTAACCAACCACCATGCCAAAGAAATGTGCTAGCCTTCTCTCCCCTTCCCTCTCCCCTTGAGGCGGTGGTTAACCTACAACCTATAGTGCTCTACACTGGATGGCCCAATAGGCTTGTTGTACGCAACCTTTCCAGTGAATGAACCTTGGAAAAGAGCACACACCTCTTTTCATCCGACACACGCTTGACAAACAGAATTACTGAGTTGCAAAGTGTGACTGTGTTAGACATTGACCTTGATCTTTGAAGGAGATGGGGGAGACAGAGAGAGAGGGGGGAGACAGAGAGAGAGGGGGAGACAGAGAGCTGGGGGAGACAGAGAGAGAGAGGGGGAGACAGAGAGAGGGGGGGAGACAGAGAGAGAGGGGGGGAGACAGAGAGATGGGGTAGACAGAGAGATGAGGGAGACAGAGAGAGGGGGGAGACAGAGTGATGGGGGAGACAGAGAGAGATGGGGAGCCAGAGAGATGGGGAGCCAGAGAGAGGGGGGGAGACAGAGAGATGGGGGAGACAGAGAGAGGGGGAGACAGAGAGATGGGGGAGACAGAGAGATGGGGAGACAGAGAGAGGGGGGAGACAGAGTGATGGGGGGAGACAGAGAGAGATGGGGAGCCAGAGAGATGGGGAGCCAGAGAGAGGGGGGAGACAGAGAGATGGGGGAGACAGAGAGAGAGGGGGAGACAGAGAGAGAGGGGGAGACAGAGAGAGGGGGGAGACAGAGAGAAGGGGGAGACAGAGAGATGGGGGAGACAGAGAGAGGGGGAGACAGAGAGATGGGGGAGACAGCGAGAGAGGGGGAGACAGAGAGAGGGGGGAGACAGAGAGAGAGGGGGAGACAGAGAGAGAGAGGGGGAGACAGAGAGAGAGGGGGAGACAGGGAGAGGAGGGAGACAGAGAGAGGGGGAGACAGAGAGAGAGAGGGGGGAGACAGAGAGAGAGAGGGGGAGACAGAGAGAGAGGGGGAGACAGGGAGAGATGGGGAGCCAGAGAGATGGGGGAGGAAAGGGGGAAGAAGGCCCCCTCTTTATTTGTCAAATCTGTTCAAACATCAGCAGCGTCCCCAGAACAAAACAGCGGTGCTTATCACCTGCTCTACCCAGTCTGAATGATTAATCCCAGGCAGCGCTCCGGCTCGGTCGGCGAGAACACTGTCCCAGACTGACAGGGAGAGCACAGTGTTTGGGAGGGCTTCAACTCTTTTCATGACTCCACTCAAACATGAGAAAGAGGTGGTGACTGAGAAACCCTCTCATTTGAACAAGCCAAATCAGTTGGATTCAATGGAAGACTTAGCAGTATGACATTGCATGAACTGAGCAACAATGCCTTAGCGAGACAAGAAAGATGATGTGGCAACGGAGGATACAGGTTACAAAATACAATTTAAAAAAAAGACTAATACTCGGTGGCTGTTTATTTGACGTACATTACCAGATATTTACCTGGATATTAGGCTATATCTACAAATAATGTATTTTCATAAAAATAGTGAAAGGTTCACAACTCTAAAGTGTCTTCATCAGGCTTCGCTAAGCTGAGGACATTGTGTAGGGATTCTGGGAGTCTGTGGGAGCTGATATAGTATATCTACAGCCTAGTCTGAGTACACAGTTCAAGGAAAATGCATGTTTTTAGACAAATAATACATTTTCACAAAAATGGTGTAGCATTCTCTGTAAATTGTCTTCATCAGGCTTCGCTAAACTGAGAACATTGTGTAGAAATGGTTTTGAAGTCTGCAAACTTGTATGGTAGGCCTACATGTTAAAATGTGAATTACACAGTAATAGGCTAACCAATGAATTACTTATTTGTTTCTTTGGTACAATTTACCAATTGCGTTCTAGCCTATCTATTTGTTGCCATATAATTTCCTGATAATATCGGACAAACAGTGTGGAAAGAGTACCGTAAAATGAAGTGCTACCAAGACATCTGCAATGGCCATTTCAGATGTCTCGTTAAATCGTTACTTATTAAATAGTTGACCAGTTATATGTTTTTCTAGCTCTAAATCCAATGGAAGCTGACCAGAGTTTCAGTTCATGAAGGAATAGTAAGAGGTTGGTATTTGAATTTGTGCGGAGAGGAAAACCCCCCAGCATTGTCTAACACTTCAAAAGCATTTGACTTGATGGATTGTTCTGCACTCCAAAAGAAGAAACAAAAGGACACTTTTTAAGTCCGGTGACAGAGAATCTAACGATCCTCCATGCATAAATGAATAAATCCATTAATGAGGAAAATATCACCATTGAATAGTATTTGGTTCCCCGCAGATGACGGTTGGTTAGATGGCCTAAGAGGCTTCCGTTAAAAGGCTTGTCATTTTCAGAGCTCTTGTAAGCCTGCTAATTGGAAAGGTGATCGACAAACACATTTCGAGGAGTGCCTGAACACATCGAGTGCAGTTTAGAGAGGAAAGAAACGTCCTCCTGTTAAGTGTGTTAGCACAGACAAGTAAAAGATAGGGATGGTTACAAAACAGTACAAGGCTAACTAGGTAGTGACTCTTTTACTCATGCAGAAAAAGAAGAGGAAAGTCTTCCTGCATGGCCAGCCAAAGTAGGCTATCCCTTCTAGTCAGGTTAAACTGTCGATCAACCCAAAACCACTACTAAGAGCAGTGCACACACAGACCTGTCTCTCCAAAAGACCTTCAGAGAGATGACACCAAAATACACTTTGAACACCGCAGACCTGGACGGCCCTTTTAAGTTCAACGGAGGAGTGGGTATTAGATGTGATTAAACATGTCAAGAAAATGCAGCCACATCCAATCATATTTCATTAGGGTGCCTCAGCAACAAACATTTCCCCTTCTTTAGCGGTTGCGCTTATTAAATTCAGGAGTGTCAGGAAGGCTCAAAGGCTGCCATGTCTCTCCGGCAGCCCGCTCGCTCCTCAGCAAGACAGGTGCTCAAAGGGAGAATCCATTACTGACGACAGGCCTTTTATAGTTCTCTGCTCTGCTCTGCTCAGGCCGGGCCAGGCAATGAGGCTCGTCCACAGACTGACTGACTGACTAAAGCACCCGGACAGGCTTCCATCTCCCATGCCTGACAAACAGTCACCAATCTCTTCAGCTACAACAAATCCAAATCAATCCTCCTTTTTAGTAAACTTTTCAGTAATTTTAGTAGCCTTTTTTGTAGCCTTTTCAGTATTTCTCTATTAGGCCTACTCGGCAAGAAAAAGTTGGTAATTGACAACAACGTTTTGTCAGATGATTTCGTAACTCACAAGTCAATAAGAAGCTAAGAATAACATTTCACTCCATCAACACTTCAATTCATTGGCCCGGTACGGACTGTACCATGGGAAAAGGGGAGACCAGGGGCAGGGGGCAATTGTAAAACCTTGAATTTCTCCAAACAGAAACAAGCTTCAGTGATTAAACTCATTCAGTACATGCCCATTTAGGTTCCCCCTGCTTGAAATGTTTCAGTCAAAAGTAGTTTTTTCCACCGGCTGTATATTTTTTTTATACTGTCCTGACCATTAATGTCCAATAATTCGAATTAGCATAATTGTATCACTAAAGTATTCACACCCCTTGACTTTTTCTACATTTTGTTGTTACAGCCTGAATTTAAAATGGATTAAAATTAGATGTTTGGTCACTGGCCTACACACAATACCCCATAATGTCAAAGTGGAATTATGTTTTTTGAAATATTTACAAATTAATTAAAAATGAAAAGCTGAAATGTCTTGAGTCAATAAGTATTCAACCCCTTTGTTATGGCAAGCCTAAATAAGTTCAGGAGTACACATTTGCTTAACAAGTCACAAATTAAGTTGCATGGACTCACTCTGTGTGCAATAATAGTGTTTAACATGAGTTTTGAATGACTACTTCATCTCTGTACCCCACACATACAATTATCTGTAAGGTCCCCGAGTCGAGCAGTGAATTTCAAACACAGATTAAACCACAAAGACCAGGGAGGTTTTTATTATTTTGTAAACATTTGTAAAAACATAATTCCACTTTGACATTATGGGGTATTGTGTGTGAGCCAGCGATAAAAATTCTCAATTGAATCGATTTTAAATTCAGATTGTGGAAAAGGTCAAGGGGTGTGAATACTTTCTGAAGGCACTGTATGGTCTATGAAGTCAAACTCACTTAACTACATATGTTAATTCATAAACATGAATGTTTTTTTAAGTTAAGTGAGTATATTTGGTTTATTTTTTAGGTGTTACATTTGGCCGCAGCTACTGTTACAATTGCCCCTGGCACGGGGGCAAATGTAACATCCAGACTTTTTCAGATTAAAATCAATATTGTGATCCGACGTCATATGTACAGAACTAGAAATGGTATGAATGGTTAGGAGACAGATGTACGTTTCTTATATATAAAAATGACCGGCCTAGTTCAAGTGGTCTCTGAGCAACAGAGTAAAATACAAAAAAAAGTAAAATTGCCCCTAGTCTCCCGTACACACTAAAACAATTCCTGTTTTCCAGTTTATGAGCGAATCAAGTTTCTAATCCTAAACAGATAATGTCTTAAATCAACTTGATTGTAACGGTCCTGTAAATGGTTCTGTAAACAACTGAATTCAACAGGGTTTTCTTTTCCATGGTGAATTGACATCAACTACAGTGCATTCTACAAGCTTCCTGTCATCCAGGACCTCTATACCAGGCGTGTCAGAGGAAGGCCCTAAAAATTGTCAAAGACTCCAGCCACCCTAGTCATAGACTGTTCTCTCTGCTTCCGCATGGCAAGCAGTACCGGAGCGCCAAGTCTAGGTCCAAACGGCTTCTTAACAGCTTCTACCCCCAAGACATAAGACTCCTGAACAGCTAATCAAATGGCTACCAGGACTATTTGCATTGTTCCCCCCCCCCCCCCCCCCCCCCCCCCCCCCCCCCCCTTTTACACTGATGCGTCTCTCTGTTTATTATCTATGCATAGTCACGTTAACTCTACCTACATTCACATATTACCTAAATTACCTAGACTAACCTGTGCTCCTGCACATTGACTCTGTACCGGTACCCCCTGTATATAGCCTCGCAACCATTAATTTACTGCTGCTCTTTAATAAATTTTTATGTTAATTTTTTACTTATTTATTTTTTGCTTAACACTTATTTTTCTTAAAACTGCATTGTTGGTTAAGGGCTTGTAAGCAAGCATTTCACTGTAAGGTCTACACCTGTTGTATTCGGCGCATGTGACAAATTTGATTTCATTCGGAAAGTATTCAGACCCCTTGACTTTTTCCACATTTTGTTACGTTACAGCCGTATTTTAAAATTGATTCAATAGTTTTTTCCCTCATCAAGCTACACATTATTCTCCATAATGACGAAGCAAAAACAGGCAAAAAAGTTTTGGCCACATTTATTACAAATCAAAAACGGAAATATCACATTTACATATGTATTCAGACCCTTTACTCAGTACTTTGCAGCGATTACAGCCTCGAGTCTTCTTGTGTATGACACTACAAGCTTGGCATACCTGTATTTGGCGAGATTCTCCCATTCTTCTCCCAAGATCCTCTCAAGCTCTGTCAGGTTGGATGGGGAGCGTCGCTGCACAACTATTTTCAGGTCTCTCCAGAGATGTTCGATCGGGTTCAAGTCCGGGCTCTGGCTGGGCCAAACAAGGACATTCAGAGACATGGTCGCTCTCCTGTTGGTAGGTGAACCTTTGCCCCAGTCTGAGGTCCTGAGCACTCTGGAGCAGGTTATCATCAAGGATCTCTCTTTACACTTTACTCCGTTCATCTTTCCCTCGATCCTGACAGGATCACCCAGTCCCTGCAGCTGAAAAACATCCCCACAGCATGATGCTGCCACCACAATGCTTCACCATAGGGATGGTGCCAGATTTCCGCCAGACGTGACGCTTGGCATTCAGGCCAAAGACTTCAATCTTTGTTTCATCAGACCAGAGAATCTTGTTTCTCATGGTCTGAGAGTCCTTTAGGTGCCTTTTGGCAAACGGGCTGTCATGTGCCTTTTACTGAGCAGTGGCTTCCATCTGGCCACTCTACCATAAAGCCCTTATTGGTGGAGTGCTGCAGAGATGGTTGTCCTTCTGGAAGGTTCTCCCATCTCCACAGAGGAACTCTAGAGCTCTGTCAGAGTGATCATCGGGATCTTGGTTACCTCACTGCCAATGGCCCTTCTCCCCCGACTGCTCAACTTGGCCGGGCAGCCAGCTCTAGGAAGAGTCTTGGTGGTTCCAAACTTCTTCCATTTAAAAGAATGATGGGAAGCCTCTGTGTTCTTGGGGACCTTCAATGCTGCAGAACGTTTTTTGTACCCTTCCCCAGATCTGTGCCACGACACCATCCTGTCTCGGAGCTCTACGGACAATTCCTTTGACCTCATGGCTTGGTTTCTTCTCTGACATGCACTGTCAACTGTGGGACCTTATATAGACAGGTGTGTGCTTTTCCAAATCATGTCCAATCAACACAGGTGGACTCCAATCAAGTTGTAGAAACATCTCAAGGATGATCAATGGAAACAGGATGCATCTGAGCTCAGTTCCGAGTCTTATAGCAAAGGGTCTGAATACTTAGGTAAATAAAAAAAAAATCTCCAAACACCTGTTTTCGCTTTGTTATTACGGGGTATTGTGTGTAGAGAAAAAATATGTATTTAATCCATTGTAGAATAAGGCTGTAACATAACAAAATGTAGAAAAAGTGAAGGGGTCTGAATACTTTCCGAATGCACCGTATATTAAAGTAAAGTAAAGCGCAAGGCTACTTATTACTTACTATATTAAAGTAATAAATGAATCTCTCATTTGAGACCTGCCGATTTCTCCTGTCCCAAATGAATATAATGGTATCCATGGGACAGATGTCATGGAATGTAGACCCAGTTCCACTTTAGACAACTTGTTGCAGCAGTTGTAATTCCTAGCGAGTGTGCCAAATTTAAGAAAAAAAGTCTCAGTTAATCAATTTGGGGGAGCAGGTTGTGCATCACCTTTCACATAGTGCACTGTTCTACTCCTAGATGCTTTGTCTCTATGTGGAGATACAAACAGAGAGGGTGTTTGGAGCTCTACAGTACTAAATAGCCTACACGAATGAGGCGCTAAAATACCGACCATCTGCTTCAGGCTCTGTGTCTATCCAGTGAAATGGGTCAGAAGAAAGCAGTACGCTCACACACAGACGCATAGGTGCATGTACACTTATACAAGTAATTGATCTACAGGTCTCCTTCCTTAACAACTGTTGACAGATTATGTCTGACATATTCACAACCACAATGGTCAGCACAATCATAGAGTCTAAGACTTCTCTCTACACTCAGGTCTTCTCCACTGCATCTTTTCTGAAGGTTTCAAACTTGTTTGAAATAACTACAAATGAGACTAGCTGACTACCTAGTCGGCTGTACTTTATGTTTCCAAAGTGCTTTCCTGATACCCAGACTAAAAGTATGGCCCTGGCAGGGCTCCAGTAGCCCTTTACCCAGTGGGTAGCGCAGAGCTACACCTTGGGAACCGATGAGCAGGCCTAGTGTGGTTCATTAGGAAAAGTGAAAGTGCATTTCTGTCCATGGCTGCAGCATAGGCTCACAGATGGTGGGCCGTTTTATTTAGCAAGAGAGTGGGCAGCCGAGCACATATAGTAGAGAGGAGAGCACACAACAAATTGGAGACACGATTAAAAAGTAAAAGGTTCCAACCAAGAAGTGGGGCTGGATGTGACTGGTCCTGTGAGATGAAAAGGGAGCCGACACGCTGAGATGGCGAAAAAAAAAAGAGTGAGAGAAAGAAGAAAGTCGGCCTTGCAATAAAAGGCTCTGCAGTTTTCACGTGCTATATCCGCATAACACATGTCACAGACACAGAGAGGCTCATAATTCAAGATCCAAAACTATAGCCCACTGATATGTCACCACAAGGAATGATGTCGAGGTTTATGAAGTTGTGTGGCTCTGGGAGACAAATGGTTGAAAAACACCAATACCCCTTCCTCTTGACAGTTAATAATTTGTTCTGAAGAAAAACTCCATGAAACCCAACAATGCCGCTGTGTGACACTAGGGGGAAGGAATTGTTGAAGGTGATTCAGTTCTTTCTTTGAACTGGTGAAATAACAGTGTGAGAGGGATCACTTGGACAAATTTCAATTTATGGTGGAAACCCCTCCACTATTTTAGGTCTCCATTTCAATCAGTAGGAATGAAAATATTGAACCACCAAAACATGACTTATTTGCCCATCTGGCTACCAGTCAGTCTGCTACCTGATCCTGCTTGGTGAGGGCTTGCTGAGGCTGGTTATCTTTTGATGACGGCCATGTTTGTTGGTTTCCCTGCCAGTGTTGCCAATTTAGCGACTTTGTCGCTATACTTCGCAAGTTTTCAGACCACTCCAGTGAGATGTATTGGTAAAAGAGTATAGCGACAAATTCGTCGGGGACCGCAGCAAAGCAAATTGGTGCTGTCACGTCGTCGCAGCAACGGCAAAACGTCATCTAGCGACAAATCAAGGAGCCAATAGCGATTGTCACTGAAAAATAGGTGGCAACACTACTCCCTGCCCTGACCTCAGCGCCTGGAGATTCTCTCCTCCTCAGCATTAAGCTAGTCAGAGGATATCCTGTCAATATTCCACACATGGAGCGGTGCCAACCTGCCCCGCTCCCCTTACATACCGCCCCTGGCCCGGGCGTTCCGGTCCACTGGAGCGACCTTGAGGTGGGGAAAAAAGATACCCCAACAAAGTCACTTTAAAATTCAATTAATGAGCCCCATGTACATGTCCTGCTCCTCTCAAAGGTGTGAAAAGAAGCAACAACAAACAACTAGGAGCTTCAAAAACGACTACCAAGATGCAGTGAAACGTTTTTTTTTACATGCTCATCTTTTAGATTTCAGTATTGTCTCAGATAGATAATAATAATAATAATATGCCATTTAGCAGATAGATCATCAGTTCATCATGATCTGACAGGCAACGTTGCTCTATTTGACAAAATACAAGAAATAAGATGAGGTTATGGATGGGATTTAGGTAAAATCCTAATGAATAGCCTATAAGGTTGCCTGAATGGTGAACATAGATGACCTGTACATTTAACTCATGCATACAGAAATTCTGGAGGCTTAAGCTGCAGGGAAAAGAGAGTGAGAGAGATAGGGATGGAGGGGCGTGGCTGATGAAGGCGTTACTCAGAGCGCTAATAGCCACAGTCTAAGGCAGAGAGCTCCATCGTTAGCCTTCGCCTGCCACTGGAGGAGATTAGACACACTGGTCCTTTCCTCTGACCCGCCCCAATTAACACCGCATCCCTCTCGCTACTGACACAGTTCACAAACAGCCGTTAACACACAGCTGGACCCAGAACGTGTGAGTGAGTGAGTGAGTGTGAGAGAGCGGGGGAGAGAGAGTGAGTAACAAAGCACACACAGGTCCAGGAAGTACAACTGACTAGGTATCCCCCTTTCCCTTTCTACTACAGGTTATCAGACGAGATCCTCTACGCCAGGGTTCCCCAACTGATTTTATTTGCCCCCCCCCCAACCACACAAGTTTTCTGAGCAAAAAACCCCACACTTTTTTGTTGTTGTTGTTGGACATAAAACACTTAAACACCAGCAAATCAGTTTCCAAGTGATTTTAATTTAATTATTCCAACGTATTACCACTAATTATTTGTAATTATGTTCCGGCCCACTGTTCCCTCTGCAGAACATACGTTTGTCAGTTATCACGTTTTACAACAGTGCATGACATCCCTCTCCTAGGATCATATTATTGAGAAAAACAAAGACAAATGTAGAGCATCACTTCATTCCTTCAAGGACAAGCCCACCCCACCCCTAAAGGCAAGCCCTTTAGTTGTGTTAATCGTTTTCTGTTACAGTAGAAAACATTCTAGCTATGTGCTTTTGGAAAGCTAACCTCATATTCAAAACCGTCTGATACTGATGTGCATTGTATTCTGACTGAGGGGTGACGCATAAATTATCGAGGCTAGCGCATTTCTAATTCCAACCAACAAAACGGCTCACATGAACAATAACCCACAGAGAATGGACAAGTTATTACAGCTTTAACAGTGGCCAAACACACACATATGGTGATTGTTACAACACTAACAGTCCATTAACAAATGCATCTGCAAGAAACCGACATTCGGGTTGCTTGTACTTAACCGACAATGCACACGGTAAGTGTTGGTGTTCTTTGGACCTCTGCAGTGCCAGTGACGGTGGTGGTGAGGTAATGAGGCCTAGATGTACTATGGAGGACAGGACTGGGAGTAGAGCTGGGAGCTGCCAGCCTGCCAACTGGGCCATCTGTGAGCCAGTGCCCCGTGGGTGTGAATCAGTGAACCCCCACGGTCGGGGATGGAGTATGTGTAATCTTCCTGTCTCTCTCCGCTGCCAGCCCCTCTCTTTCTTACTCTCCCTCTCCACCCCTCTCTCTTTACCCTCTCATTTCTGTTTTTGCATGCCCAATGGATTAGAGTTGGACACAGTATTGGCGCATGAAGTGATCTTAGCGTCATTTGAGCTAAGATGCAGGCTTAAGGGGAAGGCCAAAGTTCACGCTGAGTGCTGACAACCTGGCGGTCATGATTAAAATGGCAAAACTGACCAGAGTGCTTTTCCTCACATCACTAAGTCAGTAAGAGAGGCACCGACCTGGAGAGACTAGTGTTGTCACGATACCAACATTTTACTAACGATACGATACCAGGCCAAGCATCACGATACCAAGTAGTATCGCGATACCGCGGGAGAAAATGCTCAGTGGCGTAGCATCATGTTCGCCCCGTCCCCCGGACACTTGTTCTCTTTTTCTAAACGTTATCCGTATGTTCACTGATATTCACACTTCTACTCAATACAACACATACTGAATTAACTTCACACTTTTCACTGTATAATAGAATACTGCATTGAAATGTCTGATTTGCTCATATTTGCAAAGGCCTACCTCTGATGTGGCTGGAGGAATGGGAGAAAGGAATATACATGCATAATGATAATAATAATAATAATAATAATAATATGCCATTTAGCAGACGCTTTTATCCAAAGCGACTTACAGTCATGCGTGCATACATTTTTTTTGTGTATGGGTGGTCCCGGGGATCGAACCCACTACCTTGGCGTTACAAGCGCCGTGCTCTACCAGCTGAGCTACAGAGGACCACATGATCTGCATGTCATTGGGGAAAACACTGCATGAAACCTTCTTTACTCTTCAGTTAACACTCAGACACACACTCTCCCTCCCTCCTTCACACACTCTCTTTGTCTCCCTCTCCCATAAACACCCCACTCTCTTTGTCTCCCACTCCCATAAACACCCCACTCTCTCTCTCTCTCTCTCTCTCTCTCTCTCTCTCTCTCTCTCTCTCTCTCTCTCTCCCAAAAACAAATACATACACTGCTCCAAACATTTAAAACGTTAGGCACCAAACAGAATTTAAGGAGCACCAGAAAGAGATAGATATTTGAAATAGTTTAGGCTTACATTAGGCCTATATGAATCCTACCTTTTGACGCACATCTCATGAGTAGCAGACCCTTTTCCTTTCTTCCTGTGCCAAATCAAATTAGCCTAGACCTACTGTCCAGTTACCAGGTTGTTAGCTAGCTAGGTAACATGACTGAACAACGGGATTAGTTTAAAACGGCTGTGACATGGTTTGTGAAATTATATCAAATGCATGCGAAATCGTGCAGGAAGAAAAAAAGGTAGCTCTGGTAATATGGGTCATATTTCTTTAACCGTTTGAGCTATAGACAAGCTGTTTTCTTTGCTGTAAAGCTACAAGCAGTAGTGGTGCATGGGTAAAATCACTGGGGAAGCCACGCCAGAAAAAAAGCCATATTACAACCTATGTGTTCTGCGTTGTTTGCTCTATAACCGGTAGGTTCATATGCCTTGCCACCATGATATAAAGGCCTAAGGCCGAGACAATAAGAAGACACAGTGGCAGAATAAATTCAACCGCACCTTTGTTTCATCACAAAACTGGAGAGAAACATCTGTCCGGTGAAGTCCACAAAGCATATTGCATGTAACAAACAGTTACACAGTGGCGACCCGTCATTCAGACCAGGTGTAGCCCCACCTGTTTTGAGTCCCACCTGATTAACAAAAAAACTATATATTACACTACCAGTCAAAAGTTTGGACACACCTACTCATTCAAGGGTTTATCTTTATTTTTTACTATTTTTAACATTGTAGAATAATAGTGAAGACAACAAAACTATGAAATAACACATATGGAATCATGTAGAAACCAAAAGTGTTAAACAAATCAAAATATATTTTATATTTGACATTCTTCAAATAGCCACCCTTTGCCTTGATGACAGCTTTGCACACTCTTGGCATTCTCTCAACCAGCTTCATGAGGTAGTCACCTGGAATGCATTTCAATTAACAGGTGTGCCCTCATAAAAGTTAATATGTGGAATTTCTTTCCTTCTTAATGCGTTTGAGCCAATCAGTTGTGTTGTGACAAGGTAGTGGTGGTGTACAGAAGATAGCCCTATTTGGTAAAAGACCAAGTCCATATTATGGCAAGAACAGCTCAAATAAGCTAGAAACGACAGTCCATCATTACTTTAAGACATGAAGGTCAGTCAATACAGAACATTTCAAGAACTTTGAAAGTTTCTTCAAGTGCAGTCGCAAAAACTATCAAGCGTTATGATGAAACTGTCTCTCATGAGGACCGCCACAGGAATGGAAGACCCGGAGTTACCTCTGCTGCAGAGGATAAGTTCATTAGAGTTACCAGCCTCAGAAATTGCAGTCCAAATAAATGCTTCACAGACTTCAAGTAACAGACACATCTCAACATCAACTGTTCAGAGGAGACTGCGTGAATCAGGCCTTCATGGTCGAATTGCTGCAAAGAAACCACTATTAAAGGACACCAATAAGAAGAAGAGACCTGCTTGGGCCAAGAAACACGAGCAATGGACATTAGACCGGCGGAAATTTGTCCTTTGGTCTTATGAGTCCAAATTTGAGATTTTTGTTTCAAACCGCCGTGTCTTTGTGAGACGCGGTGTGGGTGAACGGATGATCTGCGCATGTGTAGTTCCCACCGTAAAGCATGGAGGAGGTGTTATGGTGTGGGGGTGCTTTGCTGGTGACAGTGTCTGTGATTTATTTATAATTCAAGGCACACTTAACCAGCATGGCTACCATAGCATTCTGCAGCGATACGCCATCCCATCTGGTTTGGGCTTAGTGGGACTATCATTTGTTTTTCAACAGGACAATGACCCAACACACCTCCAGGCTGTGTAAGAGCTATTTTACACTGTTTTGGTTACTACAAGATTCCATATTTCATAGTTTTGATGTCTTCACTATTATTCTACAATGTAAAAAATAGTAAAAAATAAAGAAAAACCCTTGAATGAGTATATTATTATTTTTTGTTGCCTGTTTTGCATGTTATTTTGCCATTAATACTTGTCACATCAGTTTGCTAACAATGTAAACAAAAAAATCATTGAGTTAATAAAGCCGCATTCAAACATGGTCTCTTTTTTGCTTTCTTGAGTTAGGCAGCTCCTAAATGTAGGTGTTTCAGCCTAGCTCAGTGCTTTCTGTGGTGGTGGGGCAGCCAGCGGAAAATACAGAGAGTAGGGGTTGGTAATGTTCTCTAGTTGCGCCGTGATTGGCTCAGTGTTCGGTCACTCATGGGGACACTACGTCACCGCAAAATCTAAGGGTAGAGCTCGAAAACTCAAGCCCCTTGGGTACTGCCATAGAGTTACATTAGAAGTGCCCATCCAAGAAGGCTCAAGGTCATTGGCAACTGATAAAATGATGTCAAATCACGTTATATCTACCGTAGCTTTGATTGGACTGATCATGTCAACATCACACTTTCAAAATCTTAGCTAGCAAGCTAGACAAGCAGTCATCATCATGAATCACGTCGACAATCTACTGGGAAATCCTTTTCAATCCTTGTCATATGAAGAGAAATGATTGGTGCTCACAACAAGTTGGAAATCGCAAATTCAACAATGAGTGGGTTGGAAGGAATCAGTGGCTAACTGCAAGCGTTGCGAAGTAATCACTAGCCTGCTATTCAGCATGACTTCAGCCGCGTTCAAAACAACTGGAAACTCGGAACTGGGAAATCTCAAACTTCAGTGAGTTCAAGACAACTGGGAACTCGAAAAAGCACAGCACAACAAGGTGAGTCCAAAAATGTCTTGAACTGCATAAATGATGTAACATGCCAGGGAGATATGTTTACTGTAGCTAAGAAAGTATTACTAAGTGTATGTTGTGTAGTAAGCTGTTAGTAGCCCATGTGCTTCACCCTAATAATGTGGTCCCTTTCCCCCTCATAATCTAGCCTACTGTTCTGACTTGGTGGTGCACATGTAGCCTATAGCCTGTTTTAGAGAAATGTAATAATCAAATATTGTAAGAGCTTTCATTGTCTGCTTATATGCCCCCTTTATTTATCCCACGGTTCTGACTTGGTGTACAGGGAGAATACTGTAAGAATGGATCATGTTCTGAATTCTGTCGCTGTACATTTAAAAAGTGCTGAACAAAGTTATATTGACTACGTCCATCGTAGCGCGCTCATTAATGTCTTAATCAAAATTACGGATAGCCTCTTATCCGCTCGTCGTCCCCTTATGCCATAGTTTGTACATCTCAATTGTCAGTAGAAACCACATTTACTTAAGCAAGTCAGCCATATCAGCTATGTTTTTTGAAAAGGCAGTAAATTACGCTGAATTAACTGTTTCGCTGCCAGACAAGACTCTGCTGATAGCCAGGTGTAGCAGTGGTAAGGATTCACTCCATGGTGCTGAAAAGAAAGCTCTGCTGTTGGGACAGCTTTATGTAGGCCCTAACAGTTTGTGGGCACCGTTTGTCACCGTTATAGTGCAATTAATTTATTGTTTCGTGTTGTGTAGTGGCTTTGCTAGCATGCATCAAAAAATAAATGTGGGAGTTTGTCCCACCAAGATTTACAGGCTAAAATCGCCACTGCAGTTACATGACCTACAGCATGGTCAAGCAAGTTAATGTTTCCAACATTTTCGGACTACTAAACAACTATTGATTGAGAACAATGGAGAGTTACCGCAAGTTGCAAAGAAAACAGGAGCTGCCTCCCCTATTCCAGCACCATTTCTGTGTGTGCGTGCGAGCGTGCAAGTAGAAAAAACATGTCGACTCACCCTACGTGTAGAGAAATACTAATGCCATCTTCCTCTCTTTCATGTTGCCGAAATGGTCTATGACTTAAAACTTTTAGTTTTTGTTGCCCTAGTCTACCTGGCTAAAATGCTTGCCTGCTAGCCAAACTTCCTTTCATGTGCAATAATGCGCCAGGCCAGCTAGTTAACATTAGCCTACTACATCTGGCTACATATTGAAATTCCATCATCTCAGGCCAGGGGCACAATGTACAGTGGGGAAAAAAAGTATTTAGTCAGCCACCAACTGTGCAAGTTCTCCCACCTAAAAAGATGAGAGAGGCCTGTAATTTTTATCATAGGTACACGTCAACTATGACAGACAAATTGAGAATTTTTTTCCCAGAAAATCACATTGTAGGATTTTTAATGAATTTATTTGCAAATTATGGTGGAAAATAAGTATTTGGTCACCTACAAACAAGCAAGATTTCTGGCTCTCACAGACCTGTAACTTCTTCTTTAAGAGGCTCCTCTGTCCTCCACTCGTTACCTGTATTAATGGCACCTGTTTGAACTTGTTATCAGTATAAAAGACACCTGTCCACAACCTCAAACAGTCACACTCCAAACTCCACTATGGCCAAGACCAAAGAGCTGTCAAAGGACACCAGAAACAAAATGGTAGACCTGCACCAGGCTGGGAAGACTGAATCTGCAATAGGTAAGCAGCTTGGTTTGAAGAAATCAACTGTGGGAGCAATTATTAGGAAATGGAAGACATACAAGACCACTGATAATCTCCCTCGATCTGGGGCTCCACGCAAGATCTCACCCCGTGGGGTCAAAATGATCACAAGAACGGTGAGCAAAAATCCCAGAACCACACGGGGGGACCTAGTGAATGACCTGCAGAGAGCTGGGACCAAAGTAACAAAGCCTACCATCAGTAACACACTACGCCGCCAGGGACTCAAATCCTGCAGTGCCAGACGTGTCCCCCTGCTTAAGCCAGTACATGTCCAGGCCCGTCTGAAGTTTGCTAGAGTGCATTTGGGTGATCCAGAAGAGGATTGGGAGAATATCATATGGTCAGATGAAACCAAAATAGAACTTTTTGGTAAAAACTCAACTCGTCGTGTTTGGAGGACAAAGAATGCTGAGTTGCATCCAAAGAACACCGTACCTACTGTGAAGCATGGGGGTGGAAACATCATGCTTTGGGGCTGTTTTTCTGCAAAGGGACCAGTACGACTGATCCGTGTAAAGGAAATAATAAATGGGGCCATGTATCGTGAGATTTTGAGTGAAAACCTCCTTCCATCAGCAAGGGCATTGAAGATGAAACGTGGCTGGGTCTTTCAGCATTACAATGATCCCAAACACACCGCCCGGGCAACGAAGGAGTGGCTTCGTAAGAAGCATTTCAAGGTCCTGGAGTGGCCTAGCCAGTCTCCAGATCTCAACCCCATAGAAAATCTTTGGAGGGAGTTGAAAGTCCGTGTTGCCCAGCGACAGCCCCAAAACATCACTGCTCTAGAGGAGATCTGCATGGAGGAATGGGCCAAAATACCAGCAACAGTGTGTGAAAACCTTGTGAAGACTTACAGAAAACGTTTGACCTGTGTCATTGCCAACAAAGGGTATATAACAAAGTATTGAGAAACTTTTGTTATTGACCAAATACTTATTTTCCACCATAATTTGCTAATAAATTCATTACAAATCCTACAATGTGATTTTCCGGATTTTTTTTCCTCATTTTGTCTGTCATAGTTGACGTGTACCTATGATGAAAATTACAGGCGTCTCTCATCTTTTTAAGTGGGAGAACTTGCACAATTGGTGGCTGACTAAATACTTTTTTTCCCCACTGTATGAATTTATGGTTAGATCATAATCACCGTTATAATCATTGGCCAGTACGGAGAATTAAGTAAAACCAGACTCCTATCTCCATCCATGGCTAATTTAGGAAAGGGACGATTTTAGCTAGCTAGCTAGCCACCGGAGGACAACAACACAACTAGATGCAACAATTAAAGTTCTGTCATTTACATTTTGCTTTTGATGTGACTGGTGTGAAGCCCAATTCAAACTGGCTTCCCTTGACACTTTCTTTTGGTATGCCAGGACCATTCACAGTTGAGCTTACTCATTGGCTTTTATTATTTAAATATTGTATCAAGGGAGGCCAAATGCTCGCTGGCTTCCCTTGCATTCAATGCTACGGGCGGCAACAATGGCATGTTCTTTATGACCAGACAGCATCAGATAAATGGGCTACACATACTGAGACAGAGGGGCGCTGTTTAGCTCCCTCGGATGCTTTCTCCAGTGAGATACATTCAGCCTCTTGCGAATTGAAGGAATATTATGAAACAGGGAGACAAAAGATACATTATTTGATGTTTTTCTCTTTTTTTCTTGGTAAATATTTTGGGGAAGCCTGGCTTCCCTAGGCATCCATGAATACACGCCACTGGCTGCAAACATGGCTGTCGCAAAGCTGTGCTCCATTTTCCCTCTCTGTCACACAGCCTCTGAGAACTTGCAATTGCAAACTCTACTCAGACTGGCCTGTGCTCTTGGTTATAACAGGCGATTAAATGATACAGTATCAGTTGGTTTTGACCAGAAGCGGTGCATCAGCTTGACAACGCATTGCTCCAAAAGATTGGCCGCTTTGTAGGCGTGGGCCTAGGCATGAACCAATTTTAAAATATACGTTTTATTATTATTTAATTTTAAAATCATACAATCTATCTGCAGTGAAACTGCTCAACAATTACATTTACAGTTGAAGTCGGAAGTTTACATACACCTTAGCCAAACACATTTAAACTCAGTTTTTCACAATTCCTGACATTTAATCCTAGTAAAAATTCCCTGTCTTCGGTCAGTTAGGAGCACCACTTTATTTTAAGAATGTGAAATGTCAGAATAATAGTAGAGAGAATGATTTATTTCAGCTTTTATTTCTTTCATCACATTCCCAGTGGGTCAGAAGTACACTCAATTAGTATTTGGTAGCATTGCCTTAAAATTGTTTAACTTGGGTCAAACGTTTCGGGTAGCCTTCCGCAAGCTTCCCACAATAAGTTGGGTGAATTTTGGCCCATTCCTCCTGACAGAGCTGGTGTAACCGAGTCAGGTTTGTAGGCCTCCTTGCTCGCACACGCTTTTTCAGTTCTGCCCACACATTTTCTATAGGATTGAGGTCAGGGCTTTTTGATGGCCACTCCAATACCTTGACTTTGTTGTCCTTAAGCCATTTTGCCACAACTTTGGAAGTATGCTTGGGGTCATTGTTCATTTGGAAGACCCATTTCCAACCAAGCTTTAACTTCCTGACTGATGTCTTGAGATGTTGCTTCAATATATCCACATAATTTTCCTTCCTCATGATGCCATCTATTTTGTGAAGTGCACCAGTCCCTCCTGTAGCAAAGCACCCCCACAGCATGCTGCTGCCACCCCCGTGCTTTACGGTTGGTATGGTGTTATTCGGCTTGCAAGCATCCCCCCTTTTCCTCCAAACATAACGATGGTCATTATGGCCAAACAGTTCTATTTTTGTTTCATCAGACCAGAGGACATTTCTCCAAAAAGTAAGATCTTTGTCCCCATGTGAAGTTGCAGACCATAGTCTGGCGTTTTAATGGCGGTTTTGGAGCAGTGGCTTCTTCCTTGCTGAGCGGCCTTTCAGGTTTTGTCGATATAGGACTCGTTTTACTGTGGATATAGATACTTTTGTACCTGTTTCTTCCAGCATCTTCACAAGGTCCTTTGCTGTTGTTCTGGGATTGATTTGCACTTTTCACACCAAAGTACATTCATCTCTAGGAGACAGAACGCGTCTCCTTCCTGAGCTGTATGACGGCTGCGTGGTCCCATGGTGTTTATACTTGCGTACTATTGTTTGTACAGATTAACGTGGTACCTTCAGACGTTTTGAAATTGCTCCCAAGGATGAACCAGACTTGTGGAGGTTTACAATTTTTTTTCTGAGGTCTTGGCTGATTTCTTTTGATTTTCCCATGATGTCAAGCAAAGAGGCACTGAGTTTGAAGGTAGGCCTTGAAATAAATCCACAGGTACACCTCCAATTGACTCAAATGATGTCAATTAGCCTATCAGAAGCTTCTAAAGCCATGACATCATTTTCTGGAATTTTCCAAGCTGTTTAAAGGCACAGTCAACTTAGTGTATGTAAACTTCTGACCCACTGGAATTGTGATACAGTGAATTATAAGTGAAATAATCTGTCTGTAAACAATTGTTGGAAAGATTACTTGTGTCATGCACAAAGTAGATGTCCTAACCAACTTCCCAAAACTATAGTTTGTTAACAAGACATTTGTGGAGCGGTTGAAAAACAAGTTTTAATGACTCCAACCTAAGTGTCTGTAAACTTCCGACTTCAATTGTACATGCGTGAACCTATTCAAGTAAGTAAGTAAATACATTTTGAAAATGTTAAAACACAATGTATTATTAGTTAGCTAGCTACAGCAGGCCACTGTGTGTAGGCTAATAAGCTGGTAGCTAGCTAGCTAGACAACTTTACATACTATAGCTAAGAGAAATATAATCAGCTAGCTAACTTCATATTAGCTTGTTATCTTGATGCAGGCCTATTTATCATTGTATATTACAAACTCATTCTCCAAATGCATTTGTAGTTAACAGTAATGGAAGAGGGTGAAATGATTTCCTGCTCCAGCTTTCAGGAAAGGGAGTAGGTGTACTAGCTGGTTAGATAGGGCAGGTTGTGGGATGACATTATGAAAATATTATCCAGTTCCAGTCCTAGATAGGAAGCTAAGAAGACAGAGAGATAATAGTCAGGCTGTCTAATTGTAATATAATGAAGCCTGTTTCTTTGTGATGTCTGTCCTCAGATATGGAGAGCTCCGAAAGCCTGTCTGCAGATGAAAAGGTCCCAGTGAATGTCCCAAGAGACTACTGGCACATCCTTGTAACAGTGTATTCGGAAAGTATTCCGACCCCTTGACCTTTTCTACATTTTTTTTTACGTTACATTCTAAAATGGATTAAATTGTTTTTTTTCACCCCATCAATCTAAACACAATACCCCATAATGACAAAGCAAAAACAGGTTTAGACATTTTTGCTTATTTGTAAAAAATTAAAAACAGAAATATCACATTTACATAAGTATTCAGACTCTTTACTCAGTACTTTGTTGAAGCACCTTTGGCAGCGATTACAGCCTCGAGTCTTGGGTATGACGCTACAAGCTTGGCACAACTGTATTTGGGGAGTATCTCCCATTCTTCTCTACAGATCCTCTCAAGCTCTGTCAGGTTGGATGGGGAGCGTCGCTGCACAGCTATTTTCAGGTCTCTCCAGAGATGTTCGATCGGGTTCAAGTCTGGGCTCTGGCTGGGCCACTCAAGGATATTCAGAGACTTGTCCCAAAGCCACTCCTGCGTTGTCTTGGCTGTGTGCTTAGGGTCGTTGTCCTGTTGGAAGGTGAACCTTCACCCCAGTCTGAAGTCCTGAGCAGCGCTCTGGAGCAGGTTTTCATCAAGGATCTCTGTACTTTGCTCCGCTCATCTTTCCCTCGATCCTGACTAGTCTCCCAGTCCCTGATTGGTGGAGTGCTGCAGAGATGGTTGTCCTTCTGGAAGGTTCTCTCATCTCCATAGAGGAACTCTGGAGCTCTGTCAGAGTGACCATCAGGTTCTTGGTCACCTCCCTGACCAAGGCCCTTCTCCCCTGATTGCTCAGTTTGGCCGGGCGGCCAGCTCTAGGGAGAGTCTCGGTGTTCCAAACTTCTTCCATTTAAGAATGATGGAGGCCACTGTGTTCTTGAGGACCTTCAATGCTGCAGAAATGTTTTGGTACGCTTCCCCAGATCTGTGCCTCGACACAATCCTGTCTCGAAGCTCTAAGGACAATTCCTTCGACCTCATGGCTTGGTTTTTACTCTGATATGCACTGTCAACTGTGGGACCGTATATAGAAAGATGTGTGCCTTACCAAATCCTGTCCAATCAATTGAATTTAGCACAGGTGGACTCCAATCAAGTTGTAGAAACATCTTAAGGATGATCAATGGAAACAGGATGCACCTGAGCTCAATGTTGAGTCTCATAGCAAAGGGTCTGAATACTTATGTAAATAAGGTATTTCAGATTATGTTTTTTATCAATTTGCAGAATTTTCTAAAAACCTGTTTTTGCTTTGTAATTATGGGGTATTTACATTTTAGTCATTTAGCAGACACTCTTATCCAGAGCGACTTACAGTTAGTGAGTGCATACATTTTCATACTGTATTGTGTGTAGAAATACAAAAAAATCTATTTTAGAATAAGGCTGTAACATAACAAAATGTGGAAAAAGGGAAGGGGTCTGAATACTTTCCGAATGCACTGTATGCCATGGGTTGTATGTGTACTTGTGTTTACAAATGTTGTATACAACAATACAGTTTAAAGTCACACACAACGTAGGCTACAAACTTATTACAACTGTAGCAGGCCAATCCTGCTACTGGAGGTATGCTGGGTGGGCATGCTTCTGTTCCAGCCCAGCATTAACACACCTGATTCAGCTAAAGGAAAACCTAATGAGTTGATACCAATGTGTATTATTGCTGGCCTCGAATAGAAGTCTTCTCACCCAGTAGATCAGGGAGTGGAGCAAGTGTGGCCACCTCTGGTATGGACTTTTTTGTTCTTTACTAAGATGTCTTAACATTTACAAACAAGTTAGCTTATTTGTATATTTTGAAATTATATGTTGATTCATTCAATTTGTATTAATTGAAGCGAAGTGTTTAAACTTGTTAACTTAAAAACATTATTCAAGATTAACTCGTGTCAATGTTCATTAATCACAGATCACAATTCTACAATATAAAGGTGTGAAGGGGATCTGTCTCCAAATTGTCTGTGTTTCTGTGTTGCTTCCTCAAATGAACATAACGTCTTTGTCCAGTTGTGAGATCTCCATTCTGTTTTATTTGATTATCACTCTGTCTCAGGATTTCAGCCATGTGAACCCATTTTGCAGCTTATCATATCGACATGCATCACCAATGCAGCCATATGCCTACAGTATGATGGCATTACTGGCCTAATTGGCATGTGCAATCAATGTGCCCCTTGTCATTGTACATCTGAAGCAGAGAATAGGTCAACTCACACATTATTAGCATCTTGTTAAACTAGCTATATGTTCTCAATTTTAAATGATACCAGTAGACAATGTATATAATGTATGTATGTATGAGGCTAACCATAAGCCAGATTTTCTACATGATTTTTCTGGCATGAAATTGTTTCGTGCAAATCCAACCCTTGTATTCTAGGTACAGTACTGCACATGAAAATAAGGAGCTGACAATTTGTAGGCAAATTAAAAATGTCAAAAATCAAATCAAATAAATGGGGTGTTGGGAGCTCCATTAATCAGAAGGCCAATGGCATGGAGGAGGATTGCAGAGATGTTGGTGTTGACGTTGGGTGAAGAGAGATTTGCACAAAGTACCCATTCATTGCATTTTACATGTAGGCCTATGTATTTTACAGGAAGGGAGCTATAATCATCAATGTCATGACACAGGTATAATGAAAGCGCTATAATATATGAGAATCATAATGCCCAATTGCTAGCATATTACATGGGAAATTCATGCTTAGTGTATCATTTACAATGTTATAATGTGTGTTACTGGTGATTTCTATCCTTTGGTGGGCAAATTTCACAATTTAATTTAGTCAACACATTCACAAAATGGTGGCTTTGATCAAAGTTTTGAGGTTTAGGTTGCAGCACAAGCAAACATTGTTGTTCAAATCTCTCTTCACCCACCATCAACCCCAACATTCTCTGCAATCCTTCTCCATGCCATTGACCTTATGATTTTGTCTCTGTAGTCTAGCAAAGCGACATCACATAGAATTGGAAAACCAGACACAGCGATTATTGGCTTTCCTCCATCTTTATTGGTTATGCTTGCCCGGAACTAATGACAGGCGGAACTATGTTTCATGAACAGAATATTTCCAAGCAAACATCTGCTCCTCACCTGATTGGTTAACAGCAGAGGTGGCCATGTGCAATTTGCATTAAGTAGAGCAGAGCTGGCTTTGCGCGCTGCTCCAATGTTTCAAATGTACATGTAACAACAGAAGACTCATAAGGGTCTGCACCCCCGCTCGCCATCAGGGCTAAATTATATTTAAAAAACTGATGGAAGAATTGATGCACAGGAAGAGCGGATGGAGAGAAGCAGGTGAGTGATGGCTGGAAGGGGATGTGGCTAGCTGATCACAGCTACCATACCTGAGATGTGCGTAAAAGTTAAGTAGACATTTCTGGTCTGGCGCACACAAGACTAGTTGCTGTTGCTTACAAAATGTAACTCAATTTGTAAACAAAACTGACTTTATAAACATTTTATAACAGGCGCTAGTTGGTCTCTTTAGATTGGTAAGTCCGAAAAAATCTGGTAGTATCGTATGAAACGGTACTACGGTATTCTAAAAGTATCATGACATTTTGGTACGTGATATTACCAGTATACCGTGCAACACTAGGAGAGACACACTTGTCAGTAATATGTGGACCTGATTTTTGACATGATCATCACGGTAGGGCCCTTTTTGTGGTAAGAGACGGTAAAGAAGAGCAGCTTCACCACACATCCCAGGGAACAATGTCAATAATTACAGGTAGCATTAACATTTAACACTACAAGTCTTCTTTGAATCCTTAAGCACTTTGTTGAAATAAAACTTGGAGCAAAGCAGAGCAGAGTGAGAACCTAGTGTTGCTCAGACGATTGAAGATGTTTCTCTGTAATCTACCTCTTGCATGAACAGAAGTTGTACAGTAAGTACCCTTTCATCTGCAATGTACATCACAATCATTGGTCAAGGAACTCGACCCTGTTCCTCCATCATGGTTTTCTTGTCAAATAATGCACATACAATAATAGCTCCAAGGTTTTTTATCTTTTGGCATTCATGGTCAGCAACCTGCACTTGGCCAGGGCACCCTCCATCCTGTTATGATGGAGTAAAAACTGAGGACTCCGTGCATAGCTTGCATTTCAGTGTTCTTTTGTGGATATTGCTGACACCATGCAAATATCATCTTGGTCAGCTTGTTTATATATTTATATTGGGAGTGGCCCTCCAAATGTCAATAATTGGTCAGATGTTGAAAGTGAGCGAAGCAGAACGTTTTGGACCAGAGAAGTGTTGGATGCCCGGTGGTGAGGAGGAATCTTACCAGAAGTACTGCCGATGTCCCGTTGGGTCGGAAGAGTTCAATCGACATGTCTGGGAACATCCGGCCGATCCTCGATATCACGTCGTCCACATACCTGGAGGAGGAGATAGTCAATTTTCTCCTTTTGGAAATGAATAACAAACAGGTTTCAACCTACATCAATCCACAGTCCTAGAAAAGCATAATGTGCTGCTGTGTTATTGACATGTCTAAATGTTTTAGGTCACTTTTCTTAACAAATATTTTGGATAATCTACACTTGAAATGATTCAACACCTGAAGTGCAGTTGACTCAATGTTTTCATGATGTTAATCAATGGTTTCAAAGAAACAAATCCCCAATTGATCACATTAGTCTGATAATATTAAGGACCCATATCAGCCACTCACCCATCCCTAATCAAACAAACACATGACTCTGTATGTTATAGTAGCCGTATGAATTCATCTCTGCTACTCTGTCATCTTGTAGGATACTTGCTCCTTTAGAAGGCCCCCAACGTCTTTCCCTCCAAGCCAGTGGATTGAGTACACTACCGCTGCAGCAGCAGCTCTCACATCAACGCCACAGATAGACAGACAGTCATGGCTAAGAGAGACAGACACTGAGCTTTAACAGTTGACCCCCATACCTCCCACACATCAATCCACTTGCACCCCTAAACCTTCGCCAGGGGGACCCTGTTAACTGTCAGCGCTGCTAGGGATCACTTTTACCCTGGACTGCGAGGCCACAAGTGCTTGCATGCTAATCGAAATATAATGAGAATCTTGATAACCATGAGCCATCGACGGACCTAAGGGTGTCATGCAAAATAGACATGAAAAGAAAATCTCATATTAAGAATGATTTTAAAAGTCATATAGAAGTCAAGAGACCCACAATCATGTAATTACCATTTTTGACCAACAAGTACAGAGGTTCACTGGTGTGTTCTCGCACACCATAAGCACATGCACATCAAACTTTAGGTCTACATTCTCACTATGTGCATTGGGATGAACATAGGTAGCAGAGTTGTTAAATTGAGATTCAGAACCTCTCAATTGGCAGCATTGTAGGGTGCCAGACTGCCAGACAGTTACAAGACAAGACTTGTTCTTACATTTAGCTGCTTAATAATTCATCTTGAGAGTGAAACTCGTTTTACTGCAACACAAAACACCACATTTTCACTGATTCAAATCAGTATAGTAAATTACTATCTCCCTAGGTGTTGGACATCCTACTTGGCATTCTGGGCTAGGAGTTCCAACTTCCAGATCCAACCCAACCAAGATATTTAAGCCTGACCAAAAAAATCCCTGGTACATGTATGGTTCAACATTGAGAACTTCAGTGTAACTACCTTGTACAAAAACAACTACCTCAATTTCTTAACCTTAGAAGAACAACACTTGGATGGATGGCTGCCTCCAGTCTCCATGTAAAGTTCACTTGCCCAAGGCAAACCCTTCAGCATGAAGATACTCATTTAGAATAAGCCTAATGACTTGTTATTAAGCTGCTCCCTAAATACAAAATGAGGATGGGTTTGAGAGTGTCCAATACATGCCTCTGTGTGTAAAAGTGGCTGCCATATACCATCCCCCTTTGTTCTAATACTTCTCATCCTTTTGCTTCCTTTTAATGCCACTGAACACTAGGCTACACATAGAAGGGTACTGGTCTGCATTGCGTTTTCTCTTTGAGTCTAAGTCTGTAGGCAAAATGAGGATATGGCATAGGGGAGGTGGATGGAGGTTTGTTGAGAGACTACGGGTGATTTTATTTGTCCATATCATTCTTAAACTATTTTGGAGATAATGATTTATGTGTATTGGGAAACTGTGAGCTCTGCTATAGCTGTAGTGCTCACAGCAAATGTGGCCCTGATGAGAGACAATAGTCTAAAGATGGTGGCATGGTTGTATTCGGTGGACTCAAGCTTAAAACACAAATGGCGTAAAAGGTGTTCGGTCGCTGTGGACTGCACAGCCAAAATTCACTTAAATCTTCTTGTGGGAAGAGCACCCTCCTGCTCTGATTGGCTCAAGTTTGGAAGCCATCATCGACAGCTGACAAAGACTCTAAATGTTGAATTGAATTGGGAAAATCAAACACCACTCGCCACCATGTCTCCAATTGTGCAGAACACACTGCAGGGGCGGCTGGTGATTGTGGGACATCATCATGTACCCAGTGTTCAACCTAATCATTTTTTCAGCAGCCATAACCGTTTCATTATTTTGTGTGTGTGTGCGGAACGAACAGCTGACTGAAGACAGGACAGGCGTGCGGTTGAGTCTGTTTCGGTCATAACATGGACTCTTAACGTGATGAAACTTTGTTGCTCCTTGCTCAAACAAGCAAACAAGTCTTTGGTTGCCTAGGCAACACCCCCCCACAATGGAGTAACAGCACACATATAAATAGAATGGACTTGGAAGTTGGAACCATAGGAATCCTATTACATTACTAGAGGGGCTATGTCACAAACCCTCAAAGCTCCAGAATAGTCCCAGTCAATATTAGCTAGAACGTCGCGGCCCTGCTCTTCTCGCAGGCTCTATTTCCCTACGTGGGAGCATTGTGAACCATAGGTTAGGATTTTGGACCTGGTTAAATGTACATCAGGAATGGCCAACTGGCGATTCTAATTACTAATTGGGTTCATGTCCATACTAATTCCTAATCCATGGTTGGAAACTCTAACCCAGGCAATTTGACTGGTAAACTCATGGGTATACTCGTAATGGCTGCATAGTACTTTAATGGTACGTAATTGTGATGCAATACTTTCCATTGTAATGTAGAATGTTAATTCAAATGATGTTAACTGATGTGGCTCATGCAATGGAATGTATTTTTTGTAATGTCAGTTGATTTGAATAAAAAAATCACAGTACATATTTTAGCACATACACTATACAGTGAGGGAAAAAAGTATTTGATCCCCTGCTGATTTTGTACGTTTGCCCACTGACAATGAAATGATCAGTCTATAATTTTAATGGTAGGTGTATTTCAACAGTGAGAGACAGAATAAAAACAAAGAAATCCAGAAAAAGGCATGTCAAAAATGTTATAAATTGATTTGCATTTTAATGAGGGAAATAAGTATTTGACCCCCTCTCAATCAGAAAGATTTCTGGCTCCCAGGTGTCTTTTATACAGGTAACGAGCTGAGATTAGGAGCACACTCTTAAAGGGAGTGCTCCTAATCTCAGTTTGTTACCTGTATAAAAAGACACCTGTCCACAGAAGCAATCAATCAATCAGATTCCAAACTCTCCACCATGGCCAAGACCAAAGAGCTCTCCAAGGATGTCAGGGACAAGATTGTAGACCTACACAAGGCTGGAATGGGCAACAAGACCATCGCCAAGCAGCTTGGTGAGAAGGTGACAACAGTTGTTGCGATTATTCGCAAATGGAAGAAACACAAAAGAACTGTCAATCTCCCTCGGCCTGGGGCTCTATGCAAGATCTCACCTCGTGGAGTTGCAATGATCATGAGAACGGTGAGGAATCAGCCCAGAACTACACGGGAGGATCTTGTCAATGATCTCAAGGCAGCTGGGACCATAGTCACCAAGAAAACAATTGGTAACACACTACGCCGTGAAGGACTGAAATCCTGCAGCGCCTGCAAGGTCCCCCTGCTCAAGAAAGCACATATACATGCCCGTCTGAAGTTTGCCAATGAACATCTGAATGATTCAGAGGAGAACTGGGTGAAAGTGTTGTGGTCAGATGAGACCAAAATGGAGCTCTTTGGCATCAACTCAACTCGCCGTGTTTGGAGGAGGAGGAATGCTGCCTATGACCCCAATAACACCATCCCCACCGTCAAACATGGAGGTGGAAACATTATGCTTTGGGGGTGTTTTTCTGCTAAGGGGACAGGACAATTTCACCGCATCAAAGGGACGATGGATGGGGCCATGTACGGTCAAATCTTGGGTGAGAACCTTCTTCCTTCAGCCAGGGCATTGAAAATGGGTCGTGGATGGGTATTCCAGCATGACAATGACCCAAAACACACGGCCAAGGCAACAAAGGAGTGGCTCAAGAAGAAGCACATTAAGGTCCTGGAGTGGCCTAGCCAGTCTCCAGACCTTCATCCCATAGAAAATCTGTGGAGGGAGCTGAAGGTTCGAGTTGCCAAACGTCAGCCTCGAAACCTTAATGACTTGGAGAAGATCAGCAAAGAGGAGTGGAACAAAATCCCTCCTGAGATGTGTGCAAACCTGGTTGCCAACTACAAGAAACGTCTGACCTCTGTGATTACCAACAAGGGTTTTGCCACCAAATACTAAGTCATGTTTTGCAGAGGGGCCAAATACTTATTTCCCTCATTAAAATGCAAATCAATTTATAACATTTTTGACATGCGTTTTTCTGGATTTTCTTGTTGTTATTCTGTCTCTCACTGTTCAAATACACCTACCATTACAATTATAGACTGATCATGTCTTTGTCAGTGGGCAAACGTACAAAATCAGCAGGGGATCAAATACTTTTTTCCCTCACTGTATATACAAAAGTATGTGGACACCCTTTCAAATAAGTGGATTTGGCTATTTCAGCCACACCCGTTTCTGACAGGTGTATAAAATCAAGCACACTGCCATGCAATCTCCATAGACAAACATTGGCAGTAGAATGGCCTTACTGAAGAGCTCAGTGACTTTCAACATGTCAGCTTTCCAAAAAGTCAGTTAGTCAAATTTCTGCCGTGCTACAGCTGCCCCAGTCAACTGTAAGTGCTGTTATTGTGAAGTGGAAAAGTCTAGGAGCAACAACGGCTCAGCCGTGAAGTGGTAGGCCACACAAGCTCACAGAACGGGACCGCCGAGTACTGAAGCGCGCAGTGCGTAAAAATCGTCTGTCCTCAGTTGCAACCCTCAACACCAAACTGCCTCTGGAAGCAACGTCAGCACAATAACTATTAGTCGGGAACTTCATGAAATGGGTTTCCTTGGCTGAGCAGCCACACACAAGCCTAAGATCACGATGATGAATAATGCTTCACCATCTGGCAGTCCGACATGACGAATCTGGGTTTGGCAGATGCCAGGAGAACGCTACCTGCCCGAATGCATAGTGCCAACTGTAAAGTTTGGTGGAGGAGGAATAGTGCTCTGGGGCTGTTTTTCATGGTTCGGGCTAGGCCCCTTAGTTCCAGTGAAGGGAAATCTTAACACTACAGCATACAATGACATTCTAGACAATTCTGTCCTTCCAACTTTCCTGTTTCAGCATGACAATGCCCCCGTTGGTTTGTCGAGATCGGTGTGGAAGAACTTGACTGACCTGCACAGAGCCCTGACCTCAACCCCATCTAACACCTTTCGGATGAATTGGAACACCGACTGCGAGCCAGGCCTAATCGCCCAACATCAGTGCCCAACCTCACTAATGCTCTTGTGGCTGAATGGAAGCAAGTCCCCGCAGCAACAATGTTCCAACATCTAGCGGAAAGCCTTCCCAGAAGAGTGGAGTATGTTATAGCAGCAAAGGGGGGACCAACTCCATATTAATGCCCATGATTTTGGAATGAGACGTTCGACGAGCAGGTGTCCACATACTTTTGGTAATGTAGTGTATTTTACTTCCTGCTTTGCTCCTATGGGTACACCACGCAATGGCCGCCAGTCTACCCATTATGCCATCGTTGACTTGAATGGGGATGCGTGTTCTAATAATTATGAACTCAGCAAAAAAAGAATTGTCCTCTCACTGTCAACTACGTTTGTCAGAAAACTTAACATGTGTAAATATTTCTATGAACATAACAAAATTCAACAACTGAGACATAAACTGAACAAGTTCCACAGACATGTGACTAACAGAAATTGAATAATGTGTCCCTGAACAAAGGGGGGGTCAAAATCAAAAGTAACAGTCAGTATCTGGTGTGGCCACCAGCTGCATTATGTACTGCAGTGCATCTCCTCCTCATGGACTGCACCAGATTTGCCAGTTCTTGCTGTGAGATGTTACCCCACTCTTCCACCAAGGCACCTGCAAGTTCCCGGACATTTCTGGGGGGAATGGCCCTAGCCCTCACCCTCCGATCCAACAGGTCCCAGACGTGCTCAATGGGATTGAGATCCGGGCTCTTCACTGGTCATGGCAGAACACTGACATTCCTGTCTTGCAGGAAATCACACACAGAACGAGCAGTATGGCTGGTGGCATTGTCATGCTGGAGGGTTATGTCAGGATGAGCCTGCAGGAAGGGTACCACATGAGGGAGGAGGATGTCTTCCCTGTAATGCACAGCGTTGAGATTGCCTGCAATAACAACAAGCTCAGTCCGATGATGCTGTGACACACCGCCCCAGACCATAACGGACCCACCACCTCTAAATCGATCCCGCTGGTGGGTTTGTGCCCATAGGCGACGTTGTTGCCGGTGATGTCTGGTGAGGACCTGTCTTACAACAGCCCTACAAGCCCTCAGCCCAGCCTCTCTCAGCCTATTGCGGACAGTCTGAGCACTGATGGAGGGATTGTGCGTTCCTGGTGTAACTCGGGCAGTTGTTGTTGCCATCCTGTACCTGTCCCGCAGGTGTGATGTTCGGATGTACCGATCCTGTGCAGGTGTTGTTACACGTGGTCTGCCACTTGCGAGGACGATCAGCTGTCCGTCCTGTCTCCCTGTAGCGCTGTCTTAGGCGTCTCACAGCACGGACATTGCAATTTATTGCCCTGGTCACATCTGCAGTCCTAATGCCTCCTTGCAGCATGCCTAAGGCACGTACACGCAGATGAGCAGGGACACTGAGGCATCTTTCTTTTGGTGTTTTCCAGAGTCAGTAGAAAGGCCTCTTTAGTGTCCTAAGTTTTCATAACTGTGACCTTAATTGCCTACCGTCTGTAAGCTGTTAGTGTCTTATCGACCGTTCCACAGGTGCATGTTCATTAATTGTTTATGGTTCATTGAACAAGCATGGGAAACAGTGTTTAAACCCTTTACAATGAAGATCTGCGAAGTTATTTGGATTTTTACGAATTATCTTTGAAAGACAGGGTCCTGAAAAAGGGACGTTCCTTTTTTTGCTGAGTTTATTTCAATTCCAGCACATAATATGCGATTTAGCAGACGCTTTTATCCAAAGCGACTTACAGTCATGTGTGCATACATTTTTGTGTATGGGTGGTCCCGGGGATCGAACCCACTACCTTGGCGTTACAAGCGCCGTGCTCTACCAGCTGAGCTACAGAGGACCACGTATGATCTCTGTAATTGCAAACAAAGGTTTCTGCAGTCAGGGTCAAGCTATTGGACTTTTAAGAAGCAAAGTGTCACTGGCCACATCATCATGATGATGTGGCTGGTGACACTTTGCTTTTTAAAAGTCCAATATCTTGATAACATTTTGGTACTATATCAACAGTGGACTAATTTTAAAAATACCAAAAGATCGTTTTTTGAGTGAAATTTCCCTTTAAAGGAATAGCCTTTAGAATACCTTGATCTACAAGTCATTAGGGCTTTTTTCTATCAACCTTGTAATTTAAATGCAAAGTTAATGAACGCTCTAAGGAAATATAGACATAAAGGGAAGTTCCATTACATAGTTTAAGAATCCACTGTGAAGAGTGTCTTGAATGTTAATGCTCCAGATTACCATTAGGAGCCGCTGAGCAGGTGAAAACCTTATTCTGTCAAAAAAAGCATTTGAAAAGTGATCTGCGAGTACCAAGACAAATCGGATCTAGCGCCGTTTCATGACAGCGAATAATAACTAAGAGACGACAAACAACAACTGACAGACTGGTATCAGCTTGCCAGTGTTTGGGGATGGAGCCTAACATTTCTCTTACACCTGCAAACGTTGCGGTTGATTATGAGGAGTGGTCAGATATTCCCTTGCTTGTGACTGCATGGCTCACTGAGATGAATACTGATAAATCAGAGCCGTCTTACTTGCTGTTCAGTCTAATCAGGGATCACTGGAATTTCATCCCCCTCAACTCTACAGTGTCGCAATGCAGCACCGGAAACGGGATGCACAGGGCCTAACCAGCGTCTGTATGCCAATCATTAGGCATACGTTCGCTAATTCAAACATTTGTGAATAGTTATAGTGTAATCTGGATGAGAAATATATTCAAGATATCACCTGATTTAAAAACAAGTGGGCAGTGTCTGACCAAGTCTGTTATGGAGAATTGGAAAAAAACAAAGCTGCGAGGACCAAAGTTTCATCGAGAAGACAAACACATTTGGTAGGGCTGGCACGGTAATTGTTTAATAGAGTAACCAATGATTATGCATGAAGACAGTCATGAAAATAAAATAGCCTTCATAACCGTTTAAAAATAAATAAAAAAACTAACCTTTTTAAATCAACTTCATATTCAAGTCGACAAGCTCTACCCAAAAGCAGCAAAGCAAAAGTAAGCCTGGTTTACATTTAACAGCCGATATAAGGAGAGACGAGAGGAGGAAAAACTAGCCAGTTGTAGAATTTTGTGTTGTGGAAAGAACAGCTGACTGGAAATGGGACGGCCCGGCATTCAACAAGATGACAGGTGCGGTTGAGTCATTTTCACCGTAAAATGGACACTTTACAACGTGATGAAACTTTCCTAATTCAATTCAACTTTTGCAGCAGAACATGCAGTCAGAAGTGGAGGAGAAGAGACAATGGGGGGCTTTTTTCTCTCTTTCTATTCAAACTACTATAATGGTGACCGTGGTCATAGGGCTGACAAATAACTGGCATCCAAAATTCCATGACTGTCACAGCCCTACCATTTGGAAGTTATCACCCTAGTTACAACGTGATGTCACATTCGGAGACCGATGTGAAAAATGGCTTCTACATGTGTTTGGAAAATGTTCCACCTCCTATGTTATTACAGTGTTAACATGTGAGTGGGGCCTGTGTGTTTGAGTGATGCTTGTGACAGGGCCAGACCTAAGACAGAAGTACAGTGGCGATGGCTCCTAATCAGGCCGCCAATTTCCCGGCGGCATCGACAGCCCCCCTTCTGTGGCTGTAATGCCCCCTAAAAAAAAGCACAGCCTTGTGGCCAAAGTGGACATTGTGCCCTTGGGCGGAATATAATAATTATAATTCAGTTCTCCCAGCTGCCATTCGTAGCTCTCACTCACATGGCTTTCTCAGATACAGTATCTAAATTCTTCTTAGCCAATGCCCGTCACATGATTGGGTCCCTCTCACAGGCATCGCAGACCCAAAGTACAAGTGAAGACCGACATATCGGGGATGCAACGGAGCGTGTCTTTCTTATTGAATTCCGAGGCACACATTGAAGACGTAGAACTGTCCAAATGTACTTTTCCTCAGCTAACAATATGACTAACAAACAGCATAAATCACTAGCCTATGTCAATCTGCTATCTCCCACAGTACAAAGGTTTACCTATTCTATTGGTCAGCTTGTCATTCTGTGAGAGCAATAACAGACTCTGGGACAGTTGTGGGCCGATAGATCCCAAATTCATACAACCACTGCACATGCAGTTGAAGTCGGAAGTTTACATACACTTAGGTTGGAGTCATTAAAACTAGTTTTTCCAACCACTCCACAAATTTCTTGTTAACAAACTATAGTTTTGGCAAGTTGGTTAGGACATCTACTTTGTGCATGACAAGTCATTTTTCCAACAATTGTTTACAGACAGATTATTTCACTTATAATTCTCTGTATCACAATTCCAGTGGGTCAGAAGTTTACATACACTAAGTTGACTGTGCCTTTAAACAGCTTGGAAAATTCCAGAAAATGATGTCATGGCTTTAGAAGCTTCTGATAGGCTAATTGACATCATTTGAGTCAATTGGAGGTGTACCTGTGGATGTATTTCAAGGCCTACCTTCAAACTCAGTGCCTCTTTGCTTGACATCAAAAGAAATCAGCCAAGACCTCAGAAAAAAATTTCTGGTTCATCCTTGGGAGCAATTTCCAAACGCCTGAAGGTACCACGTTCATCTGTACAAACAATAGTACGCAAGTATAAACATCATGGGACCACGCAGCCATCATACCGCTCAGGAAGGAGACGCATTCTGTCTCCTAGAGATGAACGTACTTTGGTGTGAAAAGTGCAAATCAATCCCAGAACAACAGCAAAGGACCTTGTGAAGATGCTGGAGGAAACAGGTACAAAAGTATCTATATCCACAGTAAAACGAGTCCTATATCGACAAAACCTGGAAGGCCGCTCAGCAAGGAAGAAGCCACTGCTCCAAAACCGCCATTAAAACGCCAGACTACGGTCTGCAACTTCACATGGGGACAAAGATCTTACTTTTTGGAGAAATGTCCTCTGGTCTGATGAAACAAAAATAGAACTGTTTGGCCATAATGACCATCGTTATGTTTGGAGGAAAAGGGGGGATGCTTGCAAGCCGAATAACACCATACCAACCGTAAAGCACGGGGGTGGCAGCAGCATGCTGTGGGGATGCTTTGCTACAGGAGGGACTGGTGCACTTCACAAAATAGATGGCATCATGAGGAAGGAAAATTATGTGGATATATTGAAGCAACATCTCAAGACATCAGTCAGGAAGTTAAAGCTTGGTTGGAAATGGGTCTTCCAAATGAACAATGACCCCAAGAATACTTCCAAAGTGGCCACCACAAAGCCCTGACCTCAATCCTATAGAACATTTGTGGGCAGAACTGAAAATGTGTGTACGAGCAAGGAGGCCTACAAACCTGACTCAGTTACACCAGCTCTGTCAGGAGGAATGGGCCAAAATTCACCCAACTTATCGTGTGAAGCTTGTGGAAGGGTATCCAAAACATTTGACCCAAGTTAAACAATTTAAAGGCAATGCTACCAAATACTAATTGAGTGTATGTAAATTTCTGACCAACTGGGAATGTGATGAAAGAAATAAAAGCTGAAATAAATCATTCTGTCTACTATTATTCTGACATTTCACATTCTTAAAATAAAGTGGTGATCCTAACTTTTTACTAGGATTAAATGTCAGGAATTGTGACAAACTGAGTTTAAATGTATTTGGCTAAGGTGTATGTAAACTTCCGACTTCAACTGTATACACTACCAGTCAAAAGTTTGGACACACCTACTCATTCAAGGGATTTTCTTTATTTTTACATTGTAGAATAATAGTGAAGATATCAAAACTATGAAATAACACATATGGAATCATGTAGTAACCAAATAAGTGTTAAACAAATCAAAATATATTTTATTTTTAAGACTCTTCAAATAGCCACCCTTTGCCTTGATGACAGCTTTGCACACTCTTGGCAAAATGGTTAAATGGTTTCAGAATGATGTCTGCCTCCGCTCAGATTGCAATGTGGGTGATGTTGCGGTGCTCAACAGGCACTGGCCTTTCTCCCCTATCCGAACGAACAGTGCCTCAAGCATGTTGACAGAATCAAGCATTTAGGCGTTAATATTAATGAATTATCCTACATTATATTTGTCAAACATATACAGTATATGTAATTAAAAGTGTCATTAAAGTTTGCCTATATTTTCTGGTGCCTCCCTCATGTCAGCATCGGTGTGGACATGAGATGCTGTACCCTATCACCTACACTTTGACATATAGGCAAATGATTTATGTACATTTACATGCACATATTTTTCTTAACAGAATACCTCGTGTTTTTCAGTTTTCAAATCCATTTAATTGGCTGTTTTGGTTAATGGCCTTGGTGCCCTAGCAGATGGCCCTGGCAGATTGGGCACCTCTTGAAGGCCAAATGGCCTTGCCCCTAAAATCACAAATTCCAGGCTTGCTCCTAACAGATCTGCTTAGCCTCTCTGCTGATGGGAATGGGCAGGCCCAAGCTGACAACGCCACTCTGAATCGATGCTCCAAGGACAAAGGCCTGTGTCCCCGGAGTGACGAACTGATCATTGTTGGCCAACAGACGACACGCCCAGCATGAGTCACACCAAAGTGACCTTGCACGGCGCAAAGTTTCCTGGTGAGTTTCCAGAAGCACAGGTAATATCACCATATTATTATAGTGGTACCCTCCCAGAGCAAGAAGGAATCTTATATCAGTTAGCTGGATTAGCTATCAAACTTAGTGGTTAGTTCCACTTTAAGCATCAATTTGTCTTGTCTTTTACCTTTAACAAAAGAGAGCACAATTGCTCTAATTTGGTCACTGCGTCTCTGGATAAACAGAGCAGCAGCTCAAAGAGATACATGATTAAACTGAATGCGTTAACCACTTAGGACAATAATAATCCAGATAGGGGGGCTAGCTGTCTAAGGGAGGTCGGCTTATGCATGACAGGAGTCAATCAATACGTGCCAGTTCAGCTGATTCTATATAGCATGACTCCATTTAGAGCAGGGGTCTTCAACCTTTTCTTGCCCATGGACCCCCTCCCTGGCAAACCGGCCACCCATGGACCCCCATCATAAGTTAGCAAAAAATGTTTTTCCACATGTCTTATCATCAGGTGAATGGCAAGGAGAAGTAATACATTTTTTTCAATATTTAGACCTCCCCACATTATAATTGGAAGAGGAAGTATAAACTCTAACATAGCTTATTAGCTAGAAAGGTCACTTTAAACACATTTTCACTAAGAGGAGCTGTTTAGCTGGTTTAACAAAGGTTAGCCATGTGTTTGCAAAAATGTATGTCCAAGTCAAGAAAGCTTACCAGCAGCACTTGCAACACTAGTAGCCTAGTCGCAGGTGCTTTTTCAAAGCCTATGTCAGATACTCCAGTGAGTGTAAGCGGCTCCAATGAGTGTAATTTGTGTGATATTAGGAGATGAGAAATAAAATTGACATCATTAGAAAGATATTCTCCTCTTTTCTACTGTATGTATGTAATTCCCCCAATATGTATTCTGTTGTTGCTAGCGATATTCCTAATTGATAGTGTTCTGACCGTTAACTGTTTGGGCAAATTCAGACTAATCGAATATTGCCACTTCACTTAAGATTCGCAGAGCTACGCATCCCATGGCTTAGGAGGTCCCCCCACCAAACACACGCACAACCAAACATTGATTGATTGATTGGACACAGCTTGTTTCAATTAAATAACATTTCCTATGATTTTCTACCGGCAGCAAACCAAGCGGATTATGCTGGAAATACCAGTAAAAGCACAGTGCCTCAAAAAGTGCCCCAAAACTCCTGGCCCTTTTCATACTGTATGTGTCTGTAAAACAAAAACAAAAATCATACAAAAGCCACATCCCATCAATTTCTTAGCATGAGGCCTGCTAGTTAGCAGTCCGATGTCTTCTATAATCTGTTAATCTCTTCAGCATCCAGTCTTAGATCATAACTCCTGCATAACAAACACTTCCTGTGACTAGTGTCGGACTAATAGGGTATCAGATTGTATAACCTGGTATCTCCATACTTTGACCAGGATCGTTTTCAAGGCTGACAAAGCAGATTCGACTTGAACAATCAAACATGCCAATCTCTAATGGCCTGCCATTGATCTACTCTCCAACAGAAATGTGTCTACTCAGGACTTGACTACTTAGTAGCTAAAGTGTCTGCATAAACTCAATATCATATCATCTACATTCATTTACTACCACAACATTTCTTTGTTATACCATATTTACACTGTGCACTTTCTGGGGCATTTCTGTACATATAGAAGAACGCAGGGCGAAAACAGCTGGCAATGCAGGAGGGTGGATGCAAAACAACTTAAAAAGCCACCTCGCATGAAGGTTGTGCTGCATAATTCATGCGTTGGCTGCTCCTTTTAGAAACGGCAAATTCATCAGGACAATGACGTTTGACAGAGGAGCCGCTGGTTGGCTTCACCTTGCTCCGCTCTTCACCCGCTCTCTTCCTGAGCTGTACGGAGCCATTAGAGTTCCCCAAAGCCCAGAGTCACCCCTGCACAACGCAGGAAACCGGCCAGTGAGAAGCTGCTCCAGGAAGATTTACAGTGACAGCCGTGCCTTCACTGTTCCCCACTATTGATATTTCCCTTTACATCCAGAGTGCAGACACTTTACTGAGCGATGCCGGCCCTCCCTCTCATGCCAAAAACGTATAAAATGCCAGATGGGAAATATGGGGGAAAATGTCACCCGAACCCAGTGAATATGAGATTCTGTGAGGATCTTTCTTTTGTTGACAAGGGGTGTGAGGGTGAACAGAAAAGTGCACCAGGTGCCATTTCCACACATTCTGCAAACCTCATCTACCCGAAGGACTTTAAGTTATAGAAAACTCACACAATAACTTGCACTGTAATAACATTATGAAAGCAGTAGCCCATGTCTATCAAAAGGCACACTGACAAACATTTATGAAAAAAGGTGGGACATTTCAAAGACCAGGGCACAATGCCACACTGATCAAGGACTATACATAAGAGCCCAACACACAATGGATTCCTGTTTTTGTAGCAGCTATGCCAGGTGGGGACCACTCTCTTCTCTTTCCTTCAACCACTCTTTCATCTTCCATTGGGGATGCCATCCCTCAGTCCATCCATCCAGACTTCCTGCATGCCCTTCCCCCACTCTCATCACTCTCCTATCAAAGCAAGAGGTCTACGGCCCAAGAGGTCCAAGAAAACAAAATAAGACAATGCACCATTGTATTACCGTCATGTGATCCTCGGGACTATGACAACACTAAACTGAAGAAAAACAACAGGAGGAAGAGGAGCTGTACTCACTGTGGTGGCAGAACCAGGGTACTGGGCTGGACTTTGGGTCTTCTCTTGGCAGATGCCCCCATTTGGTTAGCTGAGCGCTTGAGTGACTGCTGGTTGAGAAGACTGGATGCCAAGCCAGCATGGTATTGTAACTAAATGGGGAGAGAAAATAACAGAAAATAATAAAAACATGCCATGTTTTAATACAATAACTAGGCCTAAAAGGAAACATTAGGCATTAGTGAAGACAGTATCTCATTGGCTGAAATCAAACCCACAACTCTGTGGTGTTGCAAACCCCATGCTCTGACCCACAGAGCCATTGGAACCACGTGGTAGGCTGTGTCTACTGTGTGCAGCCTATTAGTGGTGAGGAGGACAGGACAATTCAGATGACACTATCACTATTACAGGGTGGAGATCATCCTGCGCAGCCAGGCAGCTCTAAACCATATCACATCAAGCATACATGGAGAATACCCCGCAGCTGACCTAGTCTGGGTCTGTTTTGTCACTAAACCTTGAGACACTTAAAACACAGCTCCAAAGCCAACTATGTGACAGTAATGTTAGTCATCAGATGAAAGTTAATAAAGGTGGAAATCTGACCTTGAGTTAACTGACACTACCAGAAACACCATGTATTATAATTTGTCCTCTGTTCTAGCCTCGAGCAGCCCACACAAAATCGTAAAATTCACAAGAAAACATTACTGGCATCAGAGTAGAGAAAAAAAAAGCCATCATCAAGTTTAATTGAGACATTGTAGCCGACTGTTTTCCCAAAGCTAAATCGCAAGCCTGACAACAATCTGCTCAATTAAAAGGAGAAATATTTGGTTTTGTAGCCCAACTACATCCTCCACTCCTGCCCACTATACCACCCCCTCTCCTCCTGTCCTCCTGTCGTTCGTTTGGGAGCGATGCATGGCAAGTAAAGCAGCTCTCACTTTGATGTGGAAGCAGCAGAAGCCTGTCGGCAGCTCTGCTCCCCGTCTGATGAAACGTCGTGAAAGAGATGGAAACTATGCAGAATACACAGGTGTTTCAATCAGCATCAGTCATACAGCCCAATGACTGGTATCAAATGTGACAGAAAAACCTAAAGGGACCAGAAATCCCCCTGATATTCAAATATAAAAACTCAACTGTGACAATTTGATCAATAAGTAGATGTAATATCTGGATTAATAAAACTGGCAATATACATGCATAATAAACACATTACTAATTTGGTAAGAATTTAGTATAATGTATTAGCATAATGTTATAAGCATCAATAATAATATTTTATTAGTCAACTTCTAACAGGTTGAAAATAGTGGATATGATAAAGGCTTATTTATGCTTATGACAAGTTTTAAATGTATCCTGCATCATTATGCAGTATAACAGTATTGCCATAACGTGTTACCACAAAAGGAGAGTAAGAAACCAAATCAACAACTAGAGGACAACCTAGCACCATTCCCTAGGTTCTTCTTTGGTCACTTCTTTGTGGATTTGTCACAGCGCTCATGCACAGACAGAGCACTTAAATTGGGGCTCACATAATCCCGCAGCTCATTAATTGCTATTAAAACATTCCTCCTCTTGAACTAATTAGTCAAGATGTGCGGCTACAGAGCGCTGTTCACTAGGCGAGAGGCGGACTACACAGTGCTCCAATAGCTCCATTTGGCTGACCGAAGCAGCTGTGCTAACAGGGATTTATTTTAATTGACCAAGCCTCCCCTTCGTGGCTAATGAGGCTAGTTTGTTAGGCCTGGATCGTGAAGCAGCCCAGTGCTGCTGGACTGGTGCCCAGGGAAGCCCAACCTGAATACTAAACACACTGGATATAAATAAACTAAATAAAACAACACAGCTGCAGAGCAGATCCTGTTGGTTTAGCCAATGTGTCCGATGGTGGTAGTAGCTCAGTGTTTCCCTACGTGCATTTAGCAGCAGTGTACCGCAGCTGCTGAAACGTGGCCACCACCGCAAAAAAATGAAACGTCCCTTTTTCAGGACCCTGTCGTTCAAAGATAATTTGTAAAAATCCAAATAACTTTGCAGATCCTCATTGTAAAGGGTTTAAACACTGTTTCCCATGCTTGTTCAATGAACCATAAACAATTAATGAACATGCACCTGTGGAACGGTCGCTAAGACACTAACAGCGTACAGACGGTAGGCAATTAAGGTCAGTTATGAAAACTTAGGACACTAAAGAGGCCTTTCTACTGACTCTGGAAAACACCAAAAGAAAGATGCCCAGGGTCCCTGCTCATCTGCGTGAACGTGCCTTAGGCATGCTGCAAGGAGGCATGAGGACTGCAGATGTGGCCAGGGCAATAAATTGCAATGTCCGTACTGTGAGACGACTAAGACAGCGCTAAAGGGAGACAGGACGGACAGCTAATCGTCGTCGCAGTGGCAGACCACGTGTAACAACACCTGCACAAGATCGGTACATCCGAACATCACACCTGCGGGACATGTACAGGATGGCAACAACAACTGCCTGAGTTACACCAGGAACGCACAATCCCCCATCAGTGCTCAGACTGTCCGCAATAGGCTGAGAGAGGCTGGACTGAGGGCTTGTAAGCCTGTTGTAAGGCAGGTCCTCACCAGACATCACCGGCAACAATGTCGCCTATGGGCACAAACCCACCGTCGCTGGACCAGACAGGACTGGCAAAAAGTGCTTTTCACTGACAAGTCGCAGTTTTGTCTCACCAGGGGTGATGGTCAGATTCGTGTTTATCGTCGAAGGAATGAGCATTACACCGAGGCCTGTACTCTGGAGCGGGATCGATTTGGAGGTGGAGGGTCTGTCATGGTCTGGGGCGGTGTGTCAGAGCATCATCGGACTGAGGTTGTTGTCATTGCAGGCAATCTCAACGCTGTGCATTACAGGGAAGACATCCTCCTCCCTCATGTGGTACCCTTCCTGCAGGCTCATCCTGACATGACCCTCCAGCATGACAATGCCACCAGCCATACTGCTCGTTCTGTGTGTGATTTCCTGCAAGACAGGAATGTCAGTGTTCTGCCATGACCAGCGAAGAGCCCGGATCTCAATCCCATTGAGCACGTCTGGGACCTGTTGGATCGGAGGGTGAGGGCTAGGGCCATTCCCCTCAGAAATGTCTGGGAACTTGCAGGTGCCTTGGTGGAAGAGTGGGGTAACATCTCACAGCAAGAACTGGCAAATCTGGTGCAGTCCATGAGGAGGAGATGCACTGCAGTACATAATGCAGCTGGTGGCCACACCAGATACTGACTGTTACTTTTGATTTTTACCCCCCCTTTGTTCAGGGACACATTATTCAATTTCTGTTAGTCACATGTCTGTGGAACTTGTTCAGTTTATGTCTCAGTTGTTGAATCTTGTTATGTTCATACAAATATTTACACGTTAAGTTCGCTGAAAATAAACACAGTTGGCAGTGAGAGGACGTGTCTTTATTTTGCTGAGTTTACATGGCCGCAGGAATATGTTTTGGGTTAGGGGTGCTGTCTACTAACAAAGGAGTAATAAAGTCCTAGCTCAGTGAAGAGGCGACTCCGGGATGCCGACCTTCTAGGCAGAGTTGCAAAGAAAAAGCCATATCTCAGACTGCCCATCTTAATCTTTTATTTTTATTGGCCAGTCTGAGAAATGGCTTTAACAATGTCTACACTGTATTTCTGATCAATTTGATGTTATTTTAATGGACAAAAAAATTGCTTTTCTTTTGAGAAAACAAGGACATTTCTAAGTGACCCCACACTTTTGAACGGTAGTGTATATATATTCATATATATATAAATAATATGATATACTATACTACACAGGTCAACATTCACAAGGCCGCAGGGCCAGACGGATTACCAGGACGTGTACTCCGAGCATGTGCTGACCAACTGGCAAGTGTCTTCACTGACATTTTCAACATGTCCCTGACTGAGTCTGTAATACCAACATGTTTCAAGCAGACCACCATAGTCCCCGTGCCCAAGAACTCTAAGATAACCTGCCTAAATGACTACCGACCCGTGGCACTGACGTCTGTAGCCATGAAGTGCTTTGAAAGACTGGTCATGGCTCACATCAACAGCATAATCCCAGAAACCCTAGACCCACTCCAATTTGCATACCGCCCCAACAGATCCACAGATGATGCAATCTCTATCGCACTCCACACTGCCCTTTCCCACCTGGACAAGAGGAACACCTACGTGAGAATGCTATTCATTGACTACAGCTCAGCATTCAACACCATAGTGCCCTCAAAGCTCATCACTAAGCTAAGGATCCTGGGACTAAACACCTCCCTCTGCAACTGGATCCTGGACTTCCTGACGGGCCGCCCCCAGGTGGTAAGGGTAGGTAACAACACATCTGCCACATTGATCCTCAACACGGGGGCCCCTCAGGGGTGCGTGCTCAGTCCCCTCCTGTACTCTCTGTTCACCCATGACTGCATGGCCAGGCACGACTCCAACACCATCATTAAGTTTGCCGACGACACAACAGTGGTAGGCCTGATCACCGACAACGATGAGACAGCCTATAGGGAGGAGGTCAGAGATCTGGCCGTGTGGTGCCAGGACAACAACCTCTCCCTCAACGTGACCAAGACAAAGGAGATGATTGTGGACTACAGGAAAAAAAAGAGGACTGAGCACGCCCCCATTCTCATCGACGGGGCTGTAGTGGAACAGGTTGAGAGCTTCAAGTTCCTTGGTGTCCACATCACCAACGAACTATCATGGTCCAAACACACCAAGACAGTCGTGAAGAGGGCACGACAAAGCCTATTCCCCCTCAGGAGACTAAAAAGATTTGGCATGGGTCCTCAGATCCTCAAAAAATTCTACAGCTGCACCATCGAGAGCATCCTGACTGGTTGCATCACCGCCTGGTATGGCAACTGCTTGGCCTCTGACCGCAAGGCACTACAGAGGGTAGTGCGTACGGCCCAGTACATCACTGGGGCAAAGCTCCCTGCCATCCAGGACCTCTATACCAGGCGGTGTCAGAGGAAGGCCCTCAAAATTGTCAAAGACTCCAGTCACCCTAGTCATAGACTGTTCTCTCTGCTACCGCACG